ATAGTTAATTTGGAAGAAGTATTAAGAAGATTTGAGACGGCTGAACTGACCACGACGACAGGTCATGTTATTGACAGTTTCGGAATTCACCCTGCAGAAGATAAGATTAGGGCTATAAAAAATTTTAAAACACCTTCCAATGTTAAAGAACTACGTTCATTTCTTGGAATAGTGAATTATCATGAGGCATTTATTAAAAATTTGCATTCTATTTGTGCGCCTTTACACCGACTAACGAGTAAAAATGTTGGTTGGTTTTGGTCAGCTAAAGAAAATGAAATATTTACTAAAGTTAAAAATATATTGTCAAAAGAAGATACAATAATTCCTTAATCAGCCGATATCCCTGTCGTGATTTCTTGTGACACTTCCGAAGATGGTCTAGGAGCTGTTATTGCACACCGATTTCTTACTGGCCAGGAGAAACCGATTGCTTACGCATCGAGGACACTTTCGGCGGCTGAAAAGAATTATGCCACAATTGATCGGGAGGCTTCGGCAATCATGTTCGCTATCGATAAGTTTCATCAATATATTATTGGAAAACATTTTATCTTGATTACTGATCATAAACCATTACAATATATTTTAGGTGATAAAAGAGATCTTAACAAAATAACAAATAACCGTTTAATACGGTGGGCGACGAAACTATTAAATTATGTTATGAGATAATATATAGACCAGGTAATCATAACAAATGTGCCGATGCTCTGTCCCGTTTGGGGGTAGAGAAAGCAAAAACCAATGATGTTACAAAAAAATTCGAAGAAGAAATCAGAGGATTAAAAATTAATTTAATAGAAGATTTATCTTTCACTCGCAGTAAAGTCGTAAGTGAAACGAGCAAGGATATAAACCTAAAAGAGATTATTAAATTAATAAAAAATCATTGGTATATTGATAATATAAATAATTATTCGGAGATTGTAAAAAAATATATTTCGATTAAAGATAATATTTCGTTCGAAGAAGGATTATTATTTTATAATGATAGAATTATTATTCCAGATATTTTAAAAAGGAGGTTTTATATGTGATTCATCGAGGACATCCTGGGATAGTAGGGATGAAATCATTGTGTAGATATTACGTTTTTTGGACAAATCTCGATACTGATGTTGAAGACTTTGTTAAATGTTGTAAGAGTTGTCAAGAAGGAAGGCCGGGAGCTAAAGAAGTGCCATTATACAATTGGAACATTCCTACCCGACCTTGGGAACGATTACACATTGATTTGACAGGCCCCGTATCTGGAAAGTTTTGGTTAATTTGCGTAGACGCTTTTACCAAATGGGTTGAAGTTGCAATTTTAACACATATTAATTCAGCGAGTGTAATAAATAATCTGCGTAATTATTTCTCTAGATTTGGGTTACCTCGCTACATTGTCTCAGATAACGGTACTCAGTTTACTGGATCTGAATTCAAAACGTTTCTTTTTAAAAACAATATAAAACATTTTAGATCGGCCCCTTATAGCCCCAAATCGAATGGTTTGGCTGAACGATATATACGGACGATAAAGACGCGTTTCTATGCTGGAAGGAGATGTGGGACTCCGGACCAGTTAAATTTAGCGAATGTTTTAATTACTCACCGTAATACTCCCAATGCAACTACTGGTAAATCCCCTGCCGAGATGATGTTTGGAAAGTCGCTTAGGACGACATTAGATCAGTGGAAATTATCAACGAGAAAAAGGACGGAAAACGCTCTATGGAAACAAAGCAAAGATAGAAGTGTTGAACCTCGGGAGTTTGAAGAGCAGCAAAAAGTTTGGATAGCAAATGAAAGGACAGCAGGGTGGCATGAAGGAAAAGTGTTACAACGAAAAAGCGCAATATTGTACGATGTGGAATCAGAGGGGATCGTTAAAAACAAGCATGCAGATCAATTGAGGGATGCACATACACAAGAGAAAGAAATACCCGTTACGTTGACTGAAGAAGTGGAAAAGGCAGAACATGAGAATACAACTCTTGAAAAAAGAGTTTCGAAACCCCCACTACATTATCATGATTAATTCAATTTATAGTGGGGAGAACTGTAATATAAATGTAATTTTAAATTGAATTTAAATTGAATATAATATTAACTTTTCGTTTGTAAATTACATAACCTGAAGGATTTAATTCATTATATATATATACGTGATATTTTGTATTAAATATACTTTTACTTACTTTACCTATTTTACTTATTTAATAAATCAACTCCCATTAAATATACTACTCTCCCTTCCCTGTTTAAGCTATTAATGGACAAAAATTAATATTAAAATCCCTGGTTATTATAATTAATACATCAATAAATATTTTATTAATTATTGCAAATATTCATTATTATATGTGTAATACTATGTTCTTCACAAATAACTAATAAAAATTGTATTTTATAAACTATTCTAATTTAATTGGTAATGATAATTTGAAAGTATCTTGTATTTAAGATACTCTAATTTAGTAAAAGATACAAGTATCTTTTATCTATATAATAAATAAAGTTTTTTTTTTTTAAATATAATTATAAAATCATAAATTCAATATTAATTAATGAATAAAATTTAGATATAAATTGTAAGTAATTAGGGGGTATCAGTCATTGAGAACATGAAGCTGAGGTAATTGGATTTTATTATATTGAGGGCTAATCTTTGGCGTAGGTAGTAACCCTCGTTGGGATCTTCGGTCCTAGTAGAGATCCGTTTCCCCAGCTCTTTAAAGACGATCCCCTTGCCCCTTCCAATATAAATAGAGATGCTCTAGTAGACGCCGAGACGAATAAACTCGCTAAATATTCGCCATCGCTTCCGGCCAATTACACATTCCTACCACTAATCGCCACGACTCTAACATCGTTGGGCTCTCACGCCCTCGCCTTCTTTTATCTTGTATCTTTTTGATATTTTGAACAAGATACTAGTATCTGTATCTAAGATTCATTTTTTTATAAAGAATCTGTATCTGTATCTAGATTCTTTTTCCGGAGGACCTGCCCAACTCTGTCTATATTTATATATAATCTAATGAACATGATGTTAGAAACCAACCTAAAATATGCATACTAAGGAATATATATATATAATATGTACTATGATTATATACATAAATAATATAGTATAATGTAATAATATTTGCATTAATCTAAGTAAAATGTAAAAATATTTGCATTAATCTAAGTAAAATGTAAAATAATGTTACAATGTGCTAACATTAATATGTTACGTCAAGCTAAAAAAGTTTTAAGCAATAAAATTCTAAAAATGAATTTAATTAATATGTTATGTGAAGTTATAAATATTTAAAACTATAGAATTCCAAAAAATTGAGTTAAATTTAACTAAGTGAGCTAAAAACTTATAAAATATCAAATTTAAATTAATACAATTTTAATTAATATACTTATAGGGCAAAAAGATCTTTAATTTAGTAAAGTCGAATCATAAATATTGTTATCATAAATGCCAACAAGATGAACTACTTTTGTGGAAATAAGAACTAAATAAGATAAATGAAAGCAAAGAGCTACAACATAATTAATGTAATAATGTATATTTAAGTAATAAAAGTGGCACCACTTTTAATAACAAAAATATTATGAGGATAGGAAATGAAAAACATTTAGACCTAACGAGAAATATTCAGTCAACTAAATATTTTTTTGTGAAGCTAACGTATTAAAAGAAAAAAAACCAATAAACTATTTAAATTTTACCTAAATAAGATATCTAAAGTAACTAGAATTTAACCCATGTGAAACTAAAACCTTTAACATTTAATAAAATAAAATATCTAATTTTTCTTATATGTATATAATGTAATATATTAATGTTGAGAAGTCAAAAACTTTGACTAATTTAGACTAATATTTATAAAATGTAATTTATATATATATTGAGAAGTCAAAACATCAATTATTTAGTTTAAAAACTAATAAAATCTCTAAAATCTACTAAATTTAACAAATGTGAAGCAAAAACATTTAAATGTTATAATGTTTACTAATCCAATGTACTTATTTTATGAAGTTTAAAACATACCTTTAACAAAGTATTTACTATATATGAAATTTAAGCCCACTTTAAAACCATTAAAAGTATTAAGTAGATAAATATATTTGTTATATGTTGGTTAAATCTACTATAAACAAAAAAATCTACTAAAACCAATTTAAGATCTAAGGACAAAAACAGTAAAGTATATTGAGACTAAACCATTTTAAAATAAATAGACTATCGCAGTGTAAACAGATTACAGATAAAAGTATAAAAACTACATATATTTGTAATATGTTAATTATATTTAAAGTTATGGTAACAGTAAAATACATAAAGGCAAAACCATTTTAATACTAGAATATAACAAGGTAGACAAATTACTGACTACATATTCCTTAATTTGTAATATATATTATTAGTACTTCTCAGAGAGAGGTTAATGCAGCATTTTGATGAAACAGCTAGAGGACAAATAAAATCAAAATATACCTGTTTTGAGAAGACTGAAAAATCAACCACTAATTGAAATAGGTATTGAAATCAGATGGGGGGAAAGGTTTCAAACAATTTTGGCCTCTTTCGAAACTACATTACTGGTTATCATGTTGGAGGTATTCTTTTTAAAAGGTTAGTGCCCTTGAAAGCAAGCATTGACTCTATTGATTTGCTATTGGGAAAAGGAATGGCTTTTCCCGCACATGTTTTAAATTGATAAAATGGTAAAATCATATTGGTCTTTATTTGAACATAGTGTGGTAATTGGATATCTCATCCGATGAATAAAGAGTGTCAATACATTAGAATTTAGCCAGTTGAACATCCTCGCACACCATTTTAGTCATTTAAATAAAATATCTTAGTAACGAATGACAATTCAAATTTAAAAATAAAAAAATATACGTTATTAATTTTAAGAAAATGCGAAAGTTTTTTTTTATATTTATATCATATGATGTTAAATTAAATCTATAGGCTTTTATAAATTTTAACTTATCTATTCATTTCTATTATTTTTACATTAATGATATATAGCCTACTCATTCATTAGCATTTCAAACTCCTTTCAAATGAATGAATGAAATTTGAATAAAATATTAAAAGGATGGATGATCATAGAAAAATCAAAACGAAAGGTTATTAATTTTATAATTATATTTTTATGGATATATAGAAATTATTTATATTAGCACTATCAGCGCCTTAGCATCGTTCATTGGTTTTAGTTCAGCTTTAGCTTTAACAAAAAGACAAAATCAAGTTTTTATATTTTAAATGTTTTTAATTTAAAACTTGTTATATAAGATAATCTTCAATATTACAAGCACATTATATTCATTTAGTCTTATTCCATTATGTAATGTTTAGCGTTTAAATGATTTAATTGTCAGTAGTGTTTATTATACTCATTTAACAATATATATTGGCATAATATACAATATATTACCTAATATTCAAACATACTCTATTTAAAAATGACCAATTATATAATATGCAGGGGTTGAATTTAATTTATTATCATCTGTGATTTTATTAAGCTCAAAGCAGAATGAATTATATACTTCAGTAAAATTTTCTTTTTCTTTAAGATCTTTTATTTTTTCCAGGTTAGGGGAAAAAAACATGTGAATTTTATTCATGTGCTCCATTGAGGGTAGGCATATAAATCTTTTGCCTTTGATTGGCATAACTTTTATATTTCTAAAACCAGCTTCCTTTATATATTCTACATAAGTTTTGACTAAATTTTCAGTTAAAATATGTGAACTATTCCATGGAAGATAAGGCATAGAATTTATTAACCTTTCATAAAGATATGTACTAATATTTTCATATATTATTCCAATTTTTTGCTTGATTTTACTGAGTATACCATCACCTATATCCTCTTGGTTGTTGTTAATTTCTGAATTGATCATAAGCTCTGTTTGTTCACCAGTTAAAACTGATACAAAAGCTCCATCTGGTTTTAAGAATTTAACAATATTGGATAAGGCTTGTATACGATTTTCCATTAAATGCATGCAATTAAATGACAAAACTAAATCAAATGTATGAAACCATTCTTTAGGAAGTTCATGTATGTTTGAAATATTTCCTACTTTGAAACATAAATCATTATTATTTCCTTTATCATTGGCATCTTTTATTTTTATTGCAAATTTTTCATTTGCATGCGCAATCATTTCAGATGGAGTATCTAATCCAAATGTTGTTCCTTTTAACCCATTTTTGCTGTTTAATATTGTATCATGGATAAGTTTTGTTAATTCTCCATCACCACAACCAATATCCAAAATGCGATAATAGGGTTCAATAATATCTTTATCCTCAATTTTAACCTTGAATTGCATTTTCGAATAAAATAATGGGTTAATTTTATCATCAAGCCATTGGTTAAGTATTTTCTGGACAATTAAGCTTTGATTGTTTCTTGAAGCATTAATTTTGCCATCTGTATTCATGATATCCAAGATATTAGAATCACTTTCAGTCATTTTATGATATTATATTTGTATCAAATAAATTTAAATATGATATAATTGACCAATTTTAATAATTTTATTAAGAAAAATGATCCTTTTTTATTATTTTAATAAATTAAAATGATTATATTTTATGCTGCCTTTTATTTATTTTGTAATTGTAACTAACTATTTTTATTACTTTGATAAGTCATGTGAATATTTGAATTGTAATATTTTTGTGTTGTATAAAAATTTAGTAGCAGATGTGCCAATTTTTTTATTGAAAATATTATAGAATTATTTTCGAATTTTTCATTGAGAATATTATTTCTCCTAATGTTGTAAATGCAATATTAATACGCCCAAAAATCTAGAAAATTATAGGAAAGAAGCTGCTTACCCATATCCCTACTGGGCCCAAAATACTTACTTTGACATGTTGCTTCTTACCTATTATCTGACTTGATGACATTATTTGGGCAAAATAAAGAATAAAATTTTAATTCAATATAATAACCATAAATCTTACCAATTGTAGCTTTTAAAGGTGAGGGCCAGTGGCGTAGCCAGGATTTATCCATAAGAGGTGGGGGGGGGGTTTAAATTTTTTTTGGGGGGCTTCACCCCCAAACTCTATTTTTAAATTTTGGCAATATCATGTGCTTTATTAATGTCTAATCACTATAGTAACAAGCATAAATAAAAAAATATTAGTAACAATTTTGGCTAAATTTATGATTAATAAGCCACTGAAAGCATTATTCTAAAAATTTTATCTATGTTTAGGTAATTGTAAATTAATCCATCCAGTTTAGAAAGAAAAAAATTTGCTCCCCGAACCTTACATTTTTTAAGATCACTCAATATATCTGATTGAGTGTTAAAAATAATTATTTTAATTACATTTTAGATATAGATTCTATTTATTATTAAAATAGTTTAATATAAATAAAATCCCATTATTTAACTATGCATTTATTTTAATAATAATATACAATAAAATAAATTTCAAAATGTAGAAATTTAAAATTTATTGTAAATAATTATATTTAAAAAAAATATAATTCAATAAAATATAAGTAATTCTTGTACAGTATTTAAAAAAATATAATTTAACAATTATAATTAATACAAAAGAATCAGAATATAAATAATTCTTATTGCAAATGCAATACTTTTATTAAAAATACATAAATATTATGACTATATAGCAATTTTATGATTTGAATTTATAAAGAGAGGTCTACTTTTCTCTGAGATTTGGCTAATTCATCTAGAATCAAATTTTTATCTAGAATAATCTCCTTATAAATATTTAAAAGGGTTAATTTATTTAAATGGTTTTCACCAGTGCTATTTCTTAAATAGGTTTAACCTTTTCAAAGTTGAAAAAGACCTTTCATTAGTGCAGGTATAATCAGTAAAGTAGCTAAAATAAAAAGTAATGTTTTGATATTTGGCAGGGAATCTAAAGTGCAATTACACATGGAAAGGGTCTGCAAAGCATTTTTAGGTTTCAAAGAGTACTCTATTCTGTCAAGATTTTTATACCAAAATTCGACATCACAAAGTAACTTATCATACGATCCTAATAAATCATCAGAATAAAACTCTAAGATTTTCTTAATATCCTCTAGCGTTTCACGTGTAATCAACAATTCAGACTCAACCGGCAGAAGAAAATAAAAACTTTTTAAAATAAAATTATGACTAATAAATCTTTCTTTTAATTGAAATAAAAATGTGTCATTAAGCGGAATAAAAATATTTATTTTATAAAAATTCTCAATCGAAGAGGCATAAATATTTAAGCAATTGGACTGTCTAGAAACTACTCTAGGTTTAAAAATTTCAATCCCAAACAAATTAGCGATCTCCTTTTCTTTCTCGTAAAATCATGAAATTTTTCATCCACATTTTCTCTGATATTTGTTAATATTTCAACAATATCCTTTGCCCTATTCATAACCTCTCTTAAATCCAAATCAATTTTTTGAAGCATTTTGCTAAAATCATATGTATAATTAAATAAAAAATATACACATTGAATTGATATTAAAAATTGTGACTTCGTAATCGCCTGTAAGAAATTTTCAGCATCTGAGGAATTCTTTTCTTTGCTGGATACGTAGGATTAGAGTGCTGCAAAAATAACTTCATATAATCCAATGAAGAGTCTCACTGATTGTTGTCAAAATCGTTTTAGTTTTTTTTTTGGATTATTTGAATCAATATCATCAAATGTTCGGATAAATAGCTGTCTCTTTTTGGGTGGTGTGAAAAAGTCACAAACCGACGATATTGTTTCTAAATTTTGAAAAATATATTAAATTATAAAAAGATATCTATAATACATAATAAAATTTCATAAATTCCAATTAAATTAAAAAATTTTTACGTAAACTGTTCCAGATGTCTCGAATTTCACATGCCTCGGATATCATCAAATTTAGGCAATGTGAACTACAGTGAACATATAAAGCGGTGCTATAAAGCTCTCTAATTCTTGACTGCATCCCCTTAACGTGACCACTCATTGAGGGAGCTCCATCATATTCCTGGCCTCTCATTAGATTTAAATCTAGATCTTGAAGGGATGCTAAAATTTCTTTGGCTATCGTCTCTGATTTAGTGTCATGTAAATCATTAAATTGAACAAAGAGTTCCTTCATTTTATAATCACCTGATTCCATATCAATAAACCTTACTGCTATGGATAATTACTCTATGCCCAACGTCCGAAGTCTCATCCGCCAGAACACTAAAAAATGGTGATGCTTTCACCTTTGTAGAAATTTCTTTCAATATAAACTTATTGCATATGGATATAATTTTATTTTGAAAGCATGGACTAAGGTAGGTGGCCTTATTAGCCGAGCTTTCAAAAAGCTTTATATAATTATCATTATTGTTGCATAAAAGTTTCAGCAATTCCTTAAAATTCCCTTCATTATGAGAAGATGAAAGTGTTAAGGGGCCAGCTGATACTCTATGAGCTCTTAATGCTATGCCCTGCCTCCCTAGCTAAATGATTGCATCTGTTATTATAATTATTCTTGCTCTGTTGGTTGTAACAATATCAAATTTTTTTTTATTCAATATAGATATTGATATCTTTTGATTCATAGAGATGGCTTTTAAAGCATCAGATATCTCACAAGAATTGAGATGATATTTATTTTGTTGATGATAATTAAAATTTTCAAGAGCATCTTTCCATCTTGTATATACTTGACTTACCAATGTTTTGAGTTTTTGTAACCCAGTTCCAGCATATCTTGGTGAAAAAATGACGCACACTTTACAAAAAACTCCCTTTTCATTAGCTGAATAAGCAAGCCACTTATATTTGTTAAGCCACAATGTTTGAAATGTTAAATTTCTTTTATCCAAGGGCAATGGAAATTTATAGCATTTGTCAGGTGTCCAAATATTTTCAATAGCTAACAATTTTTCATTATCATTTTTAAACTGAAAATTTAAGTATAATGAAATATCTTTTTAAGGACATTGATTTTCTCATCTATATTTTTTTTTAAATTTTATATTATATATTTCATTGTGAATTGTAGAGTTCAGACCTGAGCAGCACAACAATAAAAGAATATAGTTTATTAAAAATATATCTTAGATAAAGATTAAAGTTACTTATTACAAATTTAAAAGACAGGGATAGAAGGAAATAGAAATTATTTGTTTTTATCTAAGATACAAGTTTTCATAATACTGCCCAACTCTGCTTGTGCTTATAATGTTGTAATATCTAAAGATTATTTAGGAATTTACAATAATCAAAATGATGAGCTTTTCATATAAAAAGAGTTATAACTAAAAAAGCACATTGCAAAATAACTCAAATAAAAATAATATAATTTACAAATAAAAAAATACAACTCAATTATATTATAAAATACCATACCATCATTTGATGATTTTCCAGCCAAATCAACTGAGAGCTCACGTGCTTTTATAACACATAATGTTTCTAATTATAAAAAATTAAAAGAACTTGTAAATGATAATTTAGAATTTTATACCATTATATTTGATGATTTTATTATAGCTAACTCATTTGTTTCCCCTGGGTATAGTGGTTGTATTTATAATTGCAAGATTTAAATAAAAGATATTATAAAAGGAATACCATTTACCATCTTCATTTGAGGATTTTGTTATTTCTAAATCAATATACCTTTATTTAGTAAAAATTTTCTTATATCCATGTTGGAATTAAATAAAAAATAAACTAAAATTTTAAAAACTATCTAAATTTAGTTTAACAATTAAAATTTTATTATTAAATTTATAAATATCTAATTAAACAATAAAAATATATTTACAATATATCTTTAATTATTATTTAATATTTTATTAGTTCATAAAAATATATTTCATTTTGATATCGTATATATTATTTATTTTATTTCTAAATTAAAACAGTTTTTTAAAAATTTGTTTTCGGGGTTATGGGGGGGGTTTCAACCCCCTCCTTGTCTACGCCACTGGTGAGGGCTGAACTTCCTGTCATATTATAAGGAACAAAATTGATTGCTTGCTTTTTATAATATTACCTATTATAATCCTAAATGAGCCAACTCAAAAGTGTAAAATGTTTCGGATAATTATAAACCCCTCCCCCTTCATTTTAGAAATACAGTTTATTTAGAAATAGAGAAAGAATTTTATAAAAGCCGAAAATGAAAATTAAATTTGTCATTTATTTATTTCTTTCACTCATTCATTTATTCTTTATTTATGACGATCCTTGTCACAATACTTAATATGAACAACATAATATTGCTTTATTACATTTTTCTGTTTTTTTTCAAATATTTTACATTAGGCCGCGCCCTTCAACTTAATTTTTGTAATTCAGCATTTTATTCATAAAGCAGCCTGGACCTCATTTTTTTTAGATTAATAATGATATCTAAAAAACTCGTAAAGATTTACTCATTCCTTTTTTCAATTTAAAAATTATTTCAAAACTGTTTTTAAAATTTTAAAAATAAACGAGTCAATACACAGCTTTAATGATAGTATCTGTAACCATTGTGACATGCCTGAGAATCTTTTTTTTTTAAAATACATTACAAACTACATTTTTTGGCATAAGTTTTAAAATAGAATACATTTTTAATATTAATTTCGTGTTCTTTTAGAAAGTTTATTACCAGGTTTTAAAAAAAGGTTCCGGCTACGAATATATTATTTTAATTAAAAATTTTACTTTTATCATAATCGGTTCTGTTCAATTTTTAAAAAATGGATCCGTTTGTAATTTTAAAATAAATAATGAAATTATTTTTTAAAGAGGAGTTTGTTTTTTTTTGAAAATTTTATATTAAAAAAAACCATTGTTTTCACTCTTTGCATTCTAAGGTTGAAAGAGTTTTAAATCAAATAAAATGTAATATTCCATATGTAGTCCAGATTAGAGGTCTGCAATTAATGGAGTTTTAACTAGACCGGCCATTAATTTTTAATCCATCCGCTCATGCTTAAAAAAGAGTCCGCTCGCCTATTTTTTTAAAAAATTTGTTTAAATCGCAAGCCCATTTTTTAAAATTATTTGACTAATTGGTTTAGCTATTTATTTATATCTTTATTTAAACTTATCAAATATGCAATATTATGAACTAAACAATTAATTTTTAATAAATATATGCCCGTCTTGCTTATTACTTCCGCAAAAATCTAATACTCGCTATTTTAAAAATAATATTTTTAATCTTTTTAAGCCTTCCATATGGGCTGGACAAAACTTGTTTGTTGCAAACATCTAGTTCATATATTAATGTAAAATAAAATGGAAATTAAATCTTTATCCATAACATATACTGTTTATTCAGAGAATGTTAAAATTAATATTTTGGCCATTCCACCATGATTCTGACTGGTCAAATGCCCGTTGACTTGTCATACTTTCTATTAATACAATTTATCACAAATGTAGAATATAATAAAACTGTTCATCTATTCGGGACGAACTAAGCTGGCTGTTCGAACGGTTATGATAGGATTTAGTACGGTCGATTAGGGGTTTCGTCACGATTTTCCGCACAGCAATATAAGTGCGTCTTTCTTTTTAATTAAATTTGAAAAGAAGAACGGAATTCTCCTCAGTATAAGTGCGGCTTTTCTTCCAATTTATTTTAGAGGAGGGTGCAAGGCCCCAGCACAGTAAAAGTGTGGATTTGTTTAAGATTGGGTTAAGATAGACAATCATTTTGTTTTTTATTTAATTCCAAAAAACTAAATTAATAATTCAATTTACAATTCTGAAGTAAAATATTTTATCTTCAAACATTTAAAAAAAAAAAAATTATTTATTTTAAGTGATATCGCTTAATAGCGCGAGGTAACCTAACCGGGGCTGCCTGGTAAAAAATCATCAAAATAAACTACAGTATTTTGATGATTTTATGAACCAAGTTGACCAATAAATTAAAACCTATCCAGAATTATAAAAACACATTTGCAATTTATTAAAAATATTTAAACCTATAAAAAAATTTAAAACAAACAATCTTCTTTTTTTTCTCTAAAATTTTTTTAAAAACCTTTCTTAACTTATTTATAATGAATAATTTCAATATCTCCCGTATTAGATCATTCTACATCTACAGGTTTGTTATATATAATTTTTTAGATTTTTCCTCACAGGAAGAACCATTTTATTCTCAAAATTTCACGTTCAGTTTTATTTGACAAATAAATAATTCCTTACCCAATCAAAAAAATGGTTTTACAATAAATTTTGATACCTATTCCCAACCACAAAAGAAATATGGAAATTGGAGTCAGGAAAAAATCGCCGTAGCCAAAAAATGGCTTAATAAACCTATACATGAACAGGCGAGTATAAAAACAATGGCGCAGGACCTCAATTTATTCATTGCTTCGGTATACCAATTCAAAAGGATTACCTTCCCCGAATACTACGATGGCCTCTTGGCCGATTGCATAATCAATTAAAGAGGGAGGAATAATACACCTACTTGAGCATAATAATGGATTGACGATAAAAAATATAGTGGAAAATTTATTATCTAATCTAAAAATGAGGGATGGAATATCTAGATTAAATCAATGAGATGGAGCCGGAAAAGAGTTTAAAAGAACCCGATAGATAAAATTCTTCAGATATTATCAATATTCGTAGAGTATATTAAAATGATGAACATACCATTTCAAAATATATTCCGTTTGGATAAACAAGCTTCAATTCTCACCTCATTTCCCACTTTGGATGGGTACCTCTGAAGAGATCATCCGTCAAACTCCCTATTCAAAGGGGAAAACATCGGTTTGATGTACCATAGGAATTAATGGTCTCAAAAAATACACGATTATAGATGGGGCACTATAACAATAAAATTTAAAACCTACCTGGATGAATTATCATATTTTGCCGTTGAATTTACACATAATTATAGATAATGTGCCCATTCATCGTGCCGCTATAATAACTATATAGCGTATCTTCCACCTTATTCCCCGTAACTAAACCCCATTTAAAAATTTATGACGTTTAAATCAATATCGATCTATATATCCCAAACCAAATAACAGAATACATATAGTCGAGGCAATTACTTGCTTAATTTCATTAATTATGATTTCACAGCCTTCTTTCTACTCACATACGATACGATATATCGATAAGGGAATCCGATCTCGACTAATTTATATAAAACTAATATATAAAAAAGTAATTAGAAAATAAAATAAAATAAGCAACGAAAAAATAAGTTAAAAAATTATCATAATTTGACCTTAAGTTTTACCCAAAAAGGAATTGTGTATTTTTTGACCCATTCAAAAAGTCTTCCAGTAGTTTATATAGAAAAAAAAAACCTCGGTCATAAAAACTTTTAAAGAAAAAAAATATTATTTTGAATTTTTAATAAATTGCAAATGGATTAGCTAGATATGATCATTACTCGGTTTATCACAGCAGAAACTTTATAGACCCAAATGATATATCAACTCATACTCAACGTATTGAGCGCTAATGGAGGAATCTTAAGGCGAGCATCCCTAGAATTGGAAGAAAATATTCCTTTCAATATATATGTGAATATTCTTATTTTTGTAATATTAAAAATATGTCAAATTTAAGTAAATTAATTAAATTTTTAATTGATATGAGTTTATATCTATTTTTGTTTTTCCTTAAAATTATATATATCTATATTATCATTGTTTATATAATATGTAGTGTGGTAAACGAACGCGTTCATTTTTAACGCGTTCATGAACGAAGTTTGTTTTTTTTTGAAAAAAATGATGAACGGCATTCCTTTATTTTTGACGAACTTTGAACGTGAACGCGTTCCTTTTTTTTGACGAATGCGTTCGAATTTAACTTTCGTTCAATTTTAAAAACACATTTTATTTTTTATTTATTTGTAAAATTTAATATTAATTCGAATTTTTTAATAAAAAGTCTCATATTTTTTAATCAGCTGTTTTTCCTTTTTCACATTTTAATTTTTTAACAAGTCATAATTATTTAATTTGAATATTATTGTTTATAATTGTAAGTATGGATATTATTATTTCATGTCATCCTCTGATTCTGAAAATTTAAAATCAGATGAATTAACATTACCATGACCCAAATATGATAAATATTTTAGAGTAACATCCTATATCAAAGGAATTCAATACTTACCGAATGTTAAATGTATCCAAAAAGTTTTATATCAGTTTCAAAATCTTCAATTTCCAATTTAAAACGACATTTGATTGCAATATTAATTCTTTTATTTTATATAATATAACTAAGTAAAATCATTAAATTTGAAGAAAAAATGCATTAGGGCTATTTGACTCCAACAATAACGATAGTTTATTTAAAAATTTAAAAAATTAGTTGCCTTAAATATGATCAATGATAGACGCAGTATTAAATGGGATTCATAAAAGTTATTAAACCTATCAATATCAAATTAATTACATATATTTTATTTTAAGATTAGAACATATATATGAAGATCAATATGTTCTTTCTGCAATTATAAACCCAATATTCAAGCCTCAATGGCCATGGATAAAACTTCCACAGAACGAACCTAATAAACTTATAGCGATATTGAAAACCCTAGTAATGATAATGCAGGAACTGTTAATTTCGAGATATCCCTTTTTTTGACGAAGAAGTAGAGAATGGATTGGAGGAGGTTAACTTATCTCAATATTTTGAAGCAAAGGGCAAGACAATAAATGTTTGTAATAAATTCCCCGCTTTAGAAGAGTTGTTTAAGTATAATACCGCAATCCCCTCATTTGCCCTTGTAGTGCGTGTTTTTAATATAGTTAATGTCGTAATAACTGCTAAGAGTTTCTGTCTATCAGATAAAAATCTTGAAAAACAATTTTCATTCGCTATATTATATTGCATTTATATTTATATCATCAAAATAAAACTATATTATTTTTTAGCTAACATAATGTGCTAAAATATAGAAGACATTTATTTATATTAAATTATATTCAAAAAAAAATTTATCATAATATTTTGAACGAACGTGAACGCGTTCGATTTTTGTCAATGAACGTTGAACGCGTTCAATTTTTTTGGAAATGTTTACAGCACTAATATTCTGTTTATTCAAATAAATTGCTTAATTATCTAGTATTTGATTTAATAGTCCTAACTTAGTAGCATCCAATATAGCTCACGTCTTTTTAAAATTTTTAAATAATATACTCTATTTTTAATTTAAAATTGAAGTATGAAAATTTTCACAAGAAAAAGATATAAATTCTTAAAATTTTTGAGTAATGAAACTTTGAATTAATATTACATCAAAAAATTTTCACCCATGTTCTACACGATCGCATATTTATAAGGCAGAGGATCGCAATAGCCATTCTTAAGGCTATGTTTGTATTCGATCTCTCCTGATGATTAGGCGAATAGGTTCTGAATAATTTTGCTGCTTTCGCTTTTATTTATTTTACATTATTTTATGATCTATGCCTCAATATTGTCCTTTTGTTATGATTTTTTTTTTCCAGTAATCGTTTACCAATTATATATTTTTCATTTTATAAATTATAAATTAATTACAAGATTTAAATAAAAAGATCTTTATCAAAAAAAGAAAATAAATATAAAAAAAATAATATTAAAAATTTCCCCGAGTTTCAGTGAGTTACCTTGGTATTTATACACCATGGACGATTAAAAAAAAGATATACATAATTATATTTTTACAAATATAAAGTAAAAAAGAATCGAAAGCAACATATTTTGCATAAGCAAAAAAAAAATATTTTTCGGTGTTAAGAAAGGAAACAGTAAATAATACACAAATACTAATATTGAGCGATGAATTTTGATGGATGTAATCCTTGATATATTAATGACTATTTTCTATCTATAAAATTATTACGCATCTCAAATCTCGTTGGTTCGTAAGACTTTTTTTAGCCCCTTTTTCATTGATTTTGAATCTATATATACTATAACGAATAGTTTCACAAATAATCATTAATATTTCAGAATTTTTCGTCATAGGATCCCATCTTTATAAAACTTGAGTTTTTTTTAATCCAAAGAGTAAAATAATAGCGCGTTATTTAAAATAAATGTAATTTCAAAATCAATGATAAAACAAAAACTTGTTACCTTGGAAAGATTCATCACAGACCAATATAATTCACGTTGTTAGTGGTATTTTCTAAAATTTAAATATATAATAGATATAATACGGCATAGTCTCTAAAATCTATTAGTTAAAACGATCACATTTTCTATGAAATTTTATGCCATGTTCTTTTCTTTTATTATTAATTGAGGGTGGGATGGAAGGTCACTATTTTTTGAAAGAGAAGAGTTATATAAAATGTTTAAATAATATATATATTTGATCGATTTCAAGACAAAATAATTTGATCGAAAAGTTAAGTGGTGGTTACTAGTAAATCCTTATGGCTAATTAATCTCTCTCCCTTATTTTGTGAGATATTATATTTAAAAATATAATCTGACATTTTAGAGATTTTTTTCTATTACAGCAAATAAAATTACTATAAAATAGGTTGACAATTTATAGAAAATGGCATAATTGATTTTAATTTAATTATCTCAAGGAACTGAATTAATCATTGATATTATATTTTTATATAGGTAGATCAATCGTTAAACGGAGTAAAATTAGGATTCAAAGCGCTGGGAATAGCATCGATTATAACGATAACAGGCTTTGTCGGTTTCTGTTTTATCACGTCCAAACTTTTAGATATAGACGATGTAATAAAACCTTATCTTAAAAAAATATTCCTTAACCTTTTTTTTAGCTTGAAAAATTAAAGCAAAAAGCACAAAATTTTCTTCCTAGAGTATCGAAAACGAAAAACGGAGATTCAAATAATATAAAAACATTATCCGATTTACTTGAAAAGTATGATATTAAGAAAAAATAAAATCATCTAAAATTCCGGAGTCTATAAAACAATCCTACTTGAAAATGAATCAACAATGTCCTAAATCTTATCCTTTGAATGCCACAAAATGGATAAAGGAAGCCTTTCAATTAGCCGAAACAGCTTTAGATAATTTAGAAGTGCCTGTAGGTTGCATATTGGTATATAATGATTCAGAAGTCATAGGGATGGGTGGAAATGAAGTTAATGTCACCTTAAATCCTACTAAACATTGCGAAATCGTAGCTATAGAACGAGCTTTGCAATGGATTGAGAAAAAATACAATGATGAATCCAGCATCGACATTAAAAACTCATCGTGTACGATTATTGATAACGAAGTTGGCATCTTAAAAATTAGTGAAAATGAGAAAACCAATAATGACAATAAATCAAATAATTTTTTTTACTCTAGTTTCATAGCTAAAATTATGTCAAAAACTATTGCTTACGTGACCGTCGAACCTTGTATTATGTGCACAGCCGCTCTTAAAATTATGACGATTCCTGCTGTATTTTATGGTTGTGATAACGAACGATTTGGTGGTTGCGGTTCCGTTCTGCGAGTTAATACAAATTCAATACCTGTGCCTTATATCAATAAAGACCAATCTTCCTTAATCTCTTTGATTTGTATCGGTGGAAATAATTATTTTACTGATTTAGATGAGTCTAATTTTGGAGCAAACAATGAAAACAAAGATTTAGAAAATATTGGTGAGCTAATCGATCATGAATCTTTCTGGAGTTACAACTATGCGGAAAAGGCTATAAAATTATTGAAACGATTTTATGAACAGGAAAATATGAAAGCTCCGAAGGAAATACGAAAAATAAGCAAAAAGAAATAGTTAATGAGAGGCTTCTTTTATAACCTATTGTCTATAATCAATAATATCAACCGACAAAACTTTCTAAAATCAATTTCGAATATTATACTAATCTCTTACATTATAAATTAAATTTTAAGCATTTTAAATTATTACGTAAATAACCTAGAGAATAATTTTAAAATATTACGTAAATAACCTAGAGAATAATTTAAATATAAAATCGTAAATACTTGCCAAATATTTTTATATCTTGAGTGTTGCAAATTAAATATACAAATAATATATTTTTTTTAAACTGATTAAATATAAAATTGTAAATCTGCCAAATATTTTTATACCATCTTGAAGTGTTACGAATTTTAAATAATAATTTTTTTAACTTTATTTTGAATTTTATAAAGATATATTATATAAGAATATATCTGTTATAAATTTTGGCACAGATAGTAAATATTTATAATTGCCGAATAATTCATTAATCGCCATCAATTTCAATAATCTGGTATTTTCCTCCATAATCTAAATTTTATATGATTAATAAAAAAAAGTTTTTAGGAATGAGAAAGCATCTAAATAAATTACAATAATAACTTAGTTTTTAAACACAATTAGTCGAAAATATTAATATCATATGATTTAGTGATTGATACTTGCAAGAAACAAATTATTTCAAATTCCAAAATTAATGCCTTATTACTAACCCAACCCGATGATCAATTTTTTTACCTTAAATCCTTTTATTTTTTTAGTATTTTATAAGTATCATTCTAAAATCAACAAAATTGTAAAAAAATAAATTTAAACTGCAACAAAAATATTTTCAACCTGATTAAAAAAATAATCATAATCTAAAGACCAATCCTAAGGTCTGGTCTTGCAGAATCCTACTCGGTGATGGAATTTAAGTGTTAATTTAAAAAATATGCAATTTTTGAACATGTATTCAACTAAGTCCTAAAACTAGCATATGACAAATTATAAACTTATTAATCATTATATTAAAAATACCTTTAAGTTTGATTCAAGCCTGGCCAATTTAAAATAGCAATAATTCGAGAATTTTTAACCATATTGTAGTTGGCTATGAAAATATTTATATATAATGGGGTGATTAAAATATGAAACTGGATGATAATTATTTTTAAAGTATTGATTATATTAAAATATTTAAAAAAGAAAAGAGTATTATAAGTTTTCATAGTCGTAGTTGACCATAAATCCTTGAATAATTTACAATTAAACCAGATTAACCCAAGGCTTATTTGTTTAATTTTAAATGATTTTGAAATTTATGGTTTCTTTGACTTGAAAGTTTGAAAAGAGATTTGACCTTATTTCCAAAAGAAAAGGTAGTTGATACTATAATGAGTTAAATATATTATTAGCATAAATTTGGAAATATTTTTGGTTTTTCTTTCAGCAATCCAAGTAGTGATGCAAAATTGCTTTATTCAAACCAACTCCAAAACAGCTTAACCAATGTTTATAAGCAAAAAATCGGCTCAGCATTAAAGTGCAAGCCATAAAATCGATTAGCGAACCTCTTACAATTTTTATTTTAAAAACAAATATAATGGATTTTTGCCCCTTGAACCTTGTATATTATCTTGTATTTTTGGAGGGTTTTCTTGCTAAACAATTTTTATATTTTAATTGTCAGTTGTCTTTCAATCAAAATAATATATTAATACTATTGGTATTGGCAGATGTAAAAAATATAAAATAATTGAGGGTTTTCCGAAATGGGCGGGTTTTTAGCCAGAAAGCCCGCCTACTCGTTTTGAAATTTATTTAACTCGTCCATCTTCTCACTTATAATTTTTTAAAAAAAATTTACACCTAATGTTTAAAAATTATTTTAATGTCTGATTTGCTTTATTTATTTATATGTATTTTTAATTAAACATTTTATAATGCAATTTTATGAAATAAAACTATCATTTTTAAAATTGAAGTCTGTTCTGCTCATTTCGCATGAAATATGTCAAAAATTTACCCGCCCATTACTTAAAACAATTTTCAACCGGCCTGCCACCTGCTCAATGTTAAAAATATTTTAAAAACCCGACCATTCCCACTATGGGAGGGTGGAAAACCCACCCAATGCAGACCTCTAGTTTAAACTAGACCTTGCATTCACAACTAATGCAAATTCGTGGCCACAGGCATTCATGCTAAAAATTGCTTTTCCAGTTTTTGCCAACTTAGCCGAATTTGTGCTAACTGAATTCAGGGTCAAACAGCTATTCCACAACTATAAACAACCTATTTTCACCAAATATATTTAATTTTATTATTTCCAATAAAAATTTATTATGAAATTGTGACCTAGCACACTTAATATCATATTAAAAATGTCCGATTTTATTTACTTTTATCTAAAATACGCAACCATTAGATAAAATAGATTTCTAAATATAAATATAGAACGCTAAGCTCATCTTATTTCTTAACATAATTGATGACATGACAGCCTTCTTACTAAATTACATCAAAAAGTATAAAATGACCAATGATAACTGTCCCTTTCGCATTTCCGAAAAAATTAAAAATATTCTTAAATAAAGATAATTATCAATATTCACAAAAAATAACTTGTAAAAGAATAAAAAAAATTATAAGTAATCAATAGTCATTTTCAATAATGGATCATTCATACATCAAGTTCGAGATTAATATTCTCTAAACCAATAAAAATTTCCTATCGATATTATATTTTTTTTAAAAAAAGTCAAATATAATAACGACAAGTCTATGAAAGTATAATTATTATTAGGTTCCAATTTTGAGGGGATTGTATAGATATAGAAATGAATACACTGTTCTTTACATTTTGATATATCATCATCAGGTTCAGGAGCAAAAATATCTACTATTACTATTATGTTAATTTTTAAAATAAATATAAAAGGTTCACTAATCGATTTATGGTTTGGACTCCAAGCCTGAACCGATTTCATGGCTTGCACTCCAAGGCTGAGCCGTTTTAAGCTCACGTTCCATGGCTGAGCTGATTTTTTGGCTGGCGTTAAAGACTGGGCCGACTTTAACGGAGTGATTTTGCATCACTAGTCCCCTAAATACACATGTTTGCCGTTGTCCCATAAAATAAGTGCTTATCCCGTTTTGGTTAAAAAATTAACCATGTTGACAAAATTTTAATTTTTGTTTCCATAGATAAACTTCATTTATTGTGGGACGAAAATCTGTGCTTAGTTTGCCGAACATTCTTTGAATATTTATAAAAATCTAAGTATGTGCATAAGACGCTACAATCATTATACTAAATTATTATCAATATGTGGCAAATCATTAAAAATTTTGTATTAAGGCCAGACCCTTTAATATATGATAAATGAAAATAAAGTATACTTAAATTAAATTTATTTATTCCCAAATTTCCATTGCTGTTAGAGTTGAAAGATTTACTATTTTTCATTCATTTGAAATTTTATTATAGAAAAAATGTTGTTTATAAAATGCAGAAGTTTTTTGTTTTCAAAAATTATTCTTTTTTCAAAAAGGAACCAAATTAAATTGGAAAATATATATTATAATTATAAAATTGCAAATTTATATTTATAAAAAACAATTTTAAAAATTAAAATCTCCTTGATTCACGGGAAATTTATGTTCACGCCCGACAAAAATTTTGGGAAGGCCCGTCATGCCTAATTTCACATCCCACGCCCATCTTTCGTTATTATTAAATTTTTTATACACTTTATCAGTCAGGTGCTACTACATCGTTGTTGGTAAAACAATGTGAAGAGTTTTACAATTAAAATTACTTATGAGTTATCAGTAGATTGTATATTTTTATGATAAGTAGATACTGTGAGATTAACTCAGATTTGTTTCCGTAATTATCATTTTTTGTATATGAAATAAAAAGATAATTTCTCCCAGGATGAAATATTATTTTTGTCATATAATATAGATTTGAAAATATTTTAAGGTGAACTACGAGTCGTGCACCCCAGATATTCTGGACAAGATATCTGAGAACTTTTTATCAAGGTATTTGAACAACTATGACTAGGCATAGAATTATTTTTATTATTATTATCAATATTATTATTAGATGACGTGATTTGTAATGTTGAAGGAGGATAACTAATGTTGGGTAGATATAGTGTGTGAGCGCAATTGGTTCATGAATAGTAAATTTATTTTGTAATAACAGTATATTCTCAAAAAAGGCAAGGGCAAAGACCATTATTTAACTTTCAAACTTGTTAATTTAGATGATTATGTATATGTTAAAATCTTTTCTTTATATGATTAAATTGATTTATAAAGAAATTGTATGTTTGCAGCCTTTTAAATTTTAAGAAAATATTTTATGTTTCGACTAAGCAACCTAGAAATGTTTATACCAAGTAAATCTACACCCGTGAACTATAGATTAATTTACAGGGAGGGGGGGGGGGGTAATTTTAATATTAAATTATATTTCTAAGTAGATATCCAATTATCATATAAGGAAAGTTACTGATATAGATAAAACGTAAATAAGGATAGTAACACTTATTTAAGATATCCCGATTTCACTTTGAATAATTTCTTATTGATTTTTTACAAAGAATCTTATAAAATGTTTCAGAATGTTTAGATGCATTATATTTTTTATCGTTTTATACATCTATAATCTTATAATTACTGTATGCCTTTTTGTTGAAATGGGGGATAATGGATCCCATTTAAAATTTTACAATTAATCCAAATAGCTATATTTCGAGACAACTATTTAAGTTTCCATGAATCTCAATGACGGCTTTCCATTTTTTTATTTTTAAAATTCATTATTTTCTCCCCGTCTTATATATTTTTATATGTTTAAAATTAATAAATAAACGATCCCCGTAAAAATGTATATAAACAATAATATATAAAAATTTTTAAAATAAACAAATTTTGATCCCAAAATTTACAACGATCCCAATTACAGATTCCCGCCCGGATATGCTGGGACAAGGCTATTATAAGATTACCTCGTTATTATTTCGAGGTTAATGTTTATAAATAATTTTTATAGTTATAAAAGTAATTATATTAGAGAGTATATATTGGTGAGTTTTTATTATATTCCGCGGATATCAATAGTATGTTCTTATATATTATCTTGCTCTTTTATCAATTTATCACAAGAAAATTTAATAAAAATTGTGATATTTTGGGTTGGACTATCATAAAATTTGTAGGAAAAAAATATACACACTATTGGATTTTAAAGATCATTATCTCTCGATCTGTTTAGACTAGCGCTCTAAAATTTTATTTTTAACAAAACTTACAACACATATAATTATCGTACCAGGTTTCATTTATTTTATATTTGTCCGAAACTGTCCACATACTGGGACGTACCTTTTCAATTCCTGCTTATTCCACCTCAATAAAAAAAAATGAAGAATTCTACAATCTTAATATAATACTCTTAACTTAAATAATATTTTTTTTAAAAAATACAATATATAAAATTCTTTTATTTGTATTTAAGTCCACAAACGTATTTTAAATTATAATTACTCACCCACGATTAGGTTATATAGTATATATTTGTCATGAGAAAAGATGCTCCATGGCTGCTGATACATCCCACGAAGACGATGATAATGCAAAACGGGCTTGATTCTTAAAATAAATATAAAAAAATAACATTCATAGGTGCCAGGTTCTAAGGTCTTCTCAATGAGAATCTAATGGCCATTATATCATTAATTCTTATATTTTTAAGGAAGGAACCCTTTAGAATTCTTAAACTTTTCAAACACATTTTAAAATTTTAATTCTATGTTATTATTATATTGCTACCATCTTCCATTTACTTGAGTGGCAACAAATTTTCTAAGTTTCAAAGGTTCCAAGAATCCCTTATGCTAGTCTGTTAAAGAAAAATGTTTATAAATTAATATTTCGAAAAGTCAACTCACAAATTTAACAATATGTTAGAGCCATTATGTCGAGAAGAGAAATAAGGAGGAATCAGTATCAACATTGATGAATATGATAATAATCTCATTTCAATAAATTCTTATAAAATTTTTTCTTATGACGATCCATTTGTTCTACATAAAGCTTAAATTTTAGGTATTGCGCTATGCAAATATTATTAGATTAAATTATGTCCAAAAATATAAAAACATTTCATTATCGAATTATGATACGTCAGATAAGTTATATTAATGATGGAGTTGAAGGAATTAAGAAACATATTGCATAATAATAGTATGGTGGTAGTTTTCCTAATCTAAGTTCTAATAATGAAAATATAATTGAGATATATTTCGTTAAATTAGAAAAGACAATTTAAAAGGTAGCCCAGGCAAAGATTGGAATTTAATTTTCAAATTAATTGAAAGGAGTGGTTAAAATTTATAAAAAGCAAGAAAAAATAGAACATGGTAAGATAAAAAATAGTATATATTGGAATGAAGAAATTATTTTGTCATCGATGTTAAATAATTCGTTTTTAATAAAAACTAAATTGGTTAAATATTGAATTTAATGTTAATAACAAAGTCAATAATTGGTAATTATGAGGAAAACAATAAAAAATTTTAAAAAAAATATTCATCTTATGGTCAGTAGAAAATTTAAAATTAATATTTCGAGGAATATGAGCCAATTTCTATCATTTCTTTTCTAATAGTTTCTTCAAAAATTAGTGCGGTGGCTGGTATTTATTTAAAATATCGCCAATAATGTATAAAAAATTAGATTGCGTTATACATGAAAGTTTTAATGCTATAAAAGACGATTTTTTATTGTTTAAAACTATTTTCAGGTGATATAATTGATTAAAAAAATATCATGCAATTTTAAGAAGAAATAATTTTTAAAATACATATTTGATATTACATTTAAATCATTAAATTGCCTTAAAATAGTTTTAAACAATGTTTTTGTTACATTAAAACCAGGGATGTATTGTACGGTTGTTAAGAAGCCCGATTCAGATCGATTTTTAAAAACGATAAGAATAGATCTTAGTCAAATATAGGTCCAAACCTTTCTGCTATCTATGAGCAAAATCGATAGGCTTACAGGCTAACATCTTAATTAGGTCGTTTTTAAAAATAAACTCGAATTGGCCTTTTTAACAACCCTAGTATATTGTGAGGGAGACCAAACCCTCCCACTATTTTTTTTATTTTTAGCCCCCTTTCTAAATTTTGAGAAGAGACTGAGCCCCCTCACCAAAAATTTTATAATATTTTTTCAAAAATGTAAATTTGAATCCTTAGAATCATGCAGTCCCGTCTAATGGATAGCTTTGAAAACATGGGTAAAATGACTTGAATAAAATAAAGAAGAATTATTTTTATATTTTAGAAATTCTTTCCAATATAATTTTTTATTCAAAAATAAATTGGCGTGTGATTTGGCGTGAAGCAAATAAAAAGAATCTGCCCAAGATTGAAATTAAATAAATATGAAACATTGATGGGTTGACAATATATCGATGAAGATATTCATGATGAAAAATTTAAAAAAACTCTTAACTGTGTGTGGATACTTTGATTTGCAGTACGACCAAGTGTGAATGATAATCGAGCGAGTTTAAGAGTAAATAATTTGTCAAATTTAACGCTCATAAATATTAATAGACCTTCGGTATCGGAGTGGATTCCAGATTCATATATTAAATATGGAAAAGAAATCATCGCAGGGGAAATGTAATCTTTTCAAAAAATATACAGCCAAAGAAAACGATGAAATGGAAAATTTGTGCAAATTTTTTAATTTCATATTTATATTATTTTTTAATTTGTATAGATATTGTAGGTATAAAATTTGTGAAATAATGTTTAAAATATAATATAAATAAAGAATTTATTCGTATTCTTAATAAAAAAATCCGATTTAATATATCATATTTTTTGATAATATATAAAAAAAATTGTAACCCCCTTCCCCCATCGCCAAATTTTTGAGTAATATACCACTGATTAATAGAGCCATCTATACATAAGCAACATTTTTTAAAATAGTCATTTAGCTGCACAATTGTTAGATATAATGTAAACGAATAATAGAAAAAATGTTAAAAAAATGGAACTCATATTCATTTTGATTTCTGCTCATACGATGATTCCTAATTGTTTAAAAAATATTTTGATGTTTTCCTCACAATTATCAATTATTGATTTAGTTATTAAATATAAGATTCAATATTCAAACTCATTTAGTTTTTAATTAAATACAAATTATCTAACATGTAAAGGGTAAAAAGGGCGATTATTGTACCTAAAATTTCCACAAATATTATATCTAGTAAGATATCATTTTTGATATCTTACTAGAATATATTTATATAAAGTTCCTACAAATTTTTGTCGAAATTGAAAGGGGTGAAGCGGTGGATGTTATTTAAAAGTTTATGGCGAAATGTATTTAAGTATTTTATGTAGTTCTAAGCTACTAGCTCAACGTATTGTGTTTCACGAACTACTTTAAAATATAGCTTAGAAAATATAACAAAATTTATTATGAAAGTATTTTGCACCTTAATCTAGGGTATTTGGCCCAACTCTGAATATAATAATAGGTGGGGATTTATACAGGATAAAATGAACCAAGTAAAGAAATATTTTTCTTATTATTGAAGATCTAAATTATGCTTTCAATATGAAATCTAATGATAAAAAAAAATATATATTTACTTTTTCAATTCCCATTTCGCTGAGTATTTTCACTTTCTCTTCCAATTCAGAATGATTTCCGTCAGGCCCTTTTTTAATTATTAAATTATATGATAATCAAATTAAATAATAATATTTTAAAGAAAGACAGAATCAAAATTCGTTAAACATAAAATAACTAAACGCTGACAAATTATAATGAAATTATAATTTCCATCACCTTAACTTAAGCATCATAAAATTCTATGACACTTCACTATTAGAATCTTAAAATGGCAAACCTTTTAAGTTAAAAAGGAGAGTAGTATAAGGAATAGAAATATTGGAAATAATTGCTATAATTTTTTTTAAAGAATTCAAAGATCAAACCGTGCGCGTACACATGGGCCCAATAGCGCGCAGTGATACGAAAAATATCCGGGTTCGATTTGTATTGTTGGGCTACAACGGCGTCTTGGGGATCGTCAGGTTCAGCGGCCGAGAGCAATGCCTGAATCGACAAAAGGACTACTCTTAAATTCATGGCGGCAGCCCTTCATTATTATAAAATAATAAGATATTGTGTTTTCAGGCAAAAATTCCATCCCATTTTTTTATAATCTATTTCAATCATTTGGCATTTATTAGAAATGCATAATTCCAAGTTTTTTTGCCGATTCCTATTCAAAACTATTTATAAATTCTGATATAATTTTTAAATCTTAATTCTTTAGACTATTTTGTTTAAATTATTTTTGATTGTTTATTTAAATAATTTTTTTTTAAGTAGGGACTTTGGGAAAGAATCATGTAAAAATTTTTTCTTTGTTAGTAAACTTTATTTAAAGTTTGGTAGATGTTATAAGAATACAATACTAAAAATATTAGGTTACTTGTATTATTACTTGAAATATATTGCTCCATTCTTATAATTAAATCATCATGTTCCCTACCTCAACTCTCTTAAATAATTTAAGCTTATGATATAGAATAGGAGTCGGTTAAAATATGCATTTTAAATAAATCGACCGATTCTGACGATGAGAATCAGCGTCGATTCAACTCCAGGTAACGTCCATTTACAATATATATATTATAAATCTTTAATTTAATTTTTTTTCTTAAATTGCTCAAAAATTAATTTCAAGTTATATTTTATTCAAACCAAATTAATTGGTTTAGCATAGATTAATTTAATTTTATTGAAAACTCTTAAAGCATAGACAATTTTAAGTAATATTTATAATATAACATTGTATTTTTTAAAAATAAATTAATAAAAATAATATTTAATAATACATAAATATTATATTACCATTGATCTTTGAGTATATCGAGGCAGATAGCACCAGTTGCAGAACTAATATTTGGATGCCAAATTTTCGTCAAAAATTTAACCTTTAAAAATTAAGATGATAAAAATTCATGCATATGATTATAATGTGATAATTCATGTGATATAAATAAAATATTAATTTGTAATAGACCATTTCCAAAGGGAACGTTTCTTCAAAGAGAGAAAAAACAAATATAGCTTAATGGATGTATCCTTCCAAACAACGTATTTCTAATGTATAAGATGTTTTTTTAATATCAAACTAGTTCTATATTTTATAACGATTAAATGGCGCCTGATATAATTGAAGTGAACAAGTTGTTTTTTTAAATATTATATTATGCAATAATTTTAAACCAAGTTAAACATACTTACCCAAATAAAGTATTAAATGAATTAAGTATTTTATATACTAAAAGGTAAAATAGTTTGATATTGCATCATATTTTGTCGTGCTTAGTAAATACCTTATCTATAATTTTTAATCATAATTAATTAAACTTCATTATTTGATATAATTATATTAATTTGTATTTATGTTATTAGATTAAATAAAGTATTCAATGAATTTAGAAATTATGATTAGAATTATTAGACAATATGCCAAAAATATTTAGCAGACAGAATATTTTAGAATAATTAAAAACCTTAGCTAATATGATAGATATGTTGTTATTGAAATATTTTATACAATTTGTAAAAATTTTTATAGAAATTTTATACAAATTTAAATATATTTATTGAAATATTATAAACAATTACATATTTACAAATAAAAACCTTGAAATTTTTTTATTACACAGTGATGTGGAATGCCATTTAATATATAATTCTTTAAGTTATAGTAGCATCAATAGATTTCCTATCTTTATACCTTATTTTTTCTTAAATGCATCTCTTAATTCAATATTTTTAAAATGTATTATATATATTTAAGATATTCATTGCCTACTTTTTTATGTCATATATAAAATATCATCTTTATAACAAAATCATTTGTTGTTTGGAGCTTTAGAATACAAAAATGTGATTATACAATCATTGATACTTGATTTAAATATAAATATAATCAGAGATGTAACAAACTATAACAATGCCAATTGTATCAGCTGATACCATTAGTTTAACCAGTGGCTGGAAAAATTTTAAAATTTGATTTTCTGCATGCTCATTTCTTTCCTTGTTGGGATAATACATATTATAGGCTAATAAAAAAAAATTCTATTTTTTTAAATGCTTAGATTTATCAAATTGACTTGCAACTCTGCCAGTTTATTAATCAAAAGAGTTATTTCTATGCAACTCTGATTAAGATAATGCTTTATAAATAAAATAGTTAAGTAGAAATTAGAGATGCATGATATCTAAAACTTGGTATACCCAAAGCAGAAGGAAACACTGAAATGAAATATGATAAAAATGAAAAAGGTAAAAATATATAAAGAGAAATCATCAGATTCATATGAACAAAAATTGACAAAATCAAAAATACCTGATTTTTATGTGAATATATACCTTTTCTTCCTATAATATCTTTAAGCTTAAATTCAAATTTGGTAGCAATTACCAAATCCAAATATCATGCATCTCTAGTATAAATTATTTTAACTATAACTATAAACTTTAAATATTGTAAGGCATATTTTATATAGATATATTATTTATATATAAAATTATTTCTAAATAATTAAATCTAGGATACAATTTTATGAATATTTTCATAAAAACACTTGTCAAATAAATATTAACCATGATCTTAACATCACCATGTATCTTAATAGTATTGTGAATAATATAATATGTACTAAAATTTTATAGTCTAATAAAACAAAAATGATTAAACTTAATAGAACATCTTATGAGCACTTAAAAGTTTAAATATGTTTTAGACTCTTAAAATTTTAATGATAAAATTATGAATCAGAATGAATTCATGTACAATCCCAATGAATAATTTGTGGTATTTCTTTGAGAATGATAGATGAGATAATCATAAAATTAAGAAGTTTAGATTAATACTTTAGGAGGATGGAATGGATATGTATCAGGTATCTTGATTTCTAAATGATAAACTGCCCCTTCGTAGGGTGTATCTGGAGGTCCTGATATTTGCCCCTGTAATTCCATAAAATTATCATTTACCAATTCAATGTGAATACAATCTTGTGTCTATGTTCAAATATGTAAACATTTATGAATTTAATATTCTACCTCTTCAGACTTTAGCACTTCCCTAAATTCCCTCCTGATTCTTGCAAGCGCAATGGTATTATCCACCATATATCTTTCACAATTCTAAAATTTTACTCAACTGATTAATAAAAAACATATGAAACTTAGAAAAAAAGGATAACGTAGTCTGCTGTCATGCTATGTTACATGGCCTATACTAATTGTCGAATATTGTCAGATCGTAAGAGAGAATACTATCTATTAGTTTTTTCCCCTTATAATTTTATTGGAGATCTTTAAGATTCTATTGCAGGTATTTGGCTATAATATATATTTAAATAATAGCTATGATTTTTCACTTTTTTTTTAATATAAAAATAGTTTTTCTCTAGAGACTTTCAATTATTAACATTATTTCAAAAATATTATCTTTGGTAATTTTTCTTACAATATTTTATAAATTCTTGGTGAAGAAGTAATAGATTTACTAATTCTACACACCTAAAATGTCAACCCTATATCCCCCCTTTAAAAAAATTAAAAGCAAAATGATACTACCCTTTTTTTCAAAAATATTGGCGACAAAATGCTCCCCACCTCCTCCCTTTAAATATATTGGAGGGAAATTTTTTCATACACCCCTCTCCCCGCTCACGTAGACGCTGGTCCTGATAGCAGGGAATTCATCTTAATAACCATAATAAACTATGACTCTCTAAAGAAACTATGAAGTGGATGAACCAAATTTATTGAAACATTTTATTGTTTTTATTTTGATAGGGAATAATAATATATACAACACAATGGTCTATGAAAATTTTTGGAAAGGTTTTTTGGCTGCTTTTTTTATTTGGCTTATAAAATTTGTTCAAGTTGCCCTGCTTTGTCATTAATTTTTATGCAGGAAGGAGGAGTAATTTTGTTCAATTATAAACTTTTGACCTAGCTCGTAAAGGAGTAGCAGCGTCTACATGACATAATTTTCATTGGATGCAAACCCCCTTCAAAAACCTTTGCCTATCCCTCTAAAATATTCCCGCCAACTTCGGCGGCAGTGTCTCTTTATCATTATTTTCACCTATTTATTTATTGATACTCTTTTCAAAGAATTTATAAAGGATAACTTAAATTAATCTAACTCTACTACCAACTATCGATATTTTATGAAAGAATTTATTTTTTAGATAATAAATTCAATTAAAACCTCAATTATTTACAATGAATTAATTATCATGGCATTATGACCTTGCTGAAATATCTAAACCTTTTAAATTACATTTAAAAGGATATCTTTATTTAAAATACAATGTGTAGGATTGTTTGCAATATATAGATTGTCGATGAATTGTATTATAATAATACTATAATAAAAGTATTAATTTTTACAGCAATAAATTTTGTCCTATTTCATCTCAAAATTTAATAGATAACCCCCCAAAAAATTTATCCTATCCCCATTAAAGCAGCTCCCCTACCTCCTCAAAAAAATAGGATGCAAACTGTTCCTACCCCTCCCGCTCATTTAGACGCTGAGGAGTAGTAAGGGGGGGGGGGGGGTATGGCCAAACCAACATCTAATATTTATATATTTTATATATGAATGGGAAAAAAATATGAAATAAGTAAACAATCGGTACAGATAGGCATTAAGCTGCTTCAATTCTTTAAAAAACTCATGGCAAATTTTTTTTGATGATTTCTTTATAAATTCAATTATTAAATAAATATAGCGTTTCTAAATAATATCTATTATTTCATAATGTTAAAAATTTAATGTGGTAGATATTTCAAATTGTTTAATGTAAATTGCTGTACATTTACAGTAATTCTCTGTATGTTAAGGAGAAAATTGTGAGTCTCTACCTGATGGGTTAATGTTAATTATGGCACAGTCAACAAATAGCAATATCCTACAAAACTAACAAATTTCTAAACAACGGCTAATTATTTAAAAAAATGTAATTAAGACCCATTTACTTATATATATTAAAAGATGGAATAACGCGTTCGCTTCCGATATTCTATATATTATCCCCCCTTAAGAAAGGCCTAGTTGTTTTCAGAGAAAAACATAGTTCATGCTTGATTTGAATCTAGAAATAACGCTTAAGATACACATGCACAGTGGCGTAGCTAGGAATTTTCCTTAGAGGGGGTCCATACATATAAAAGCTGGGGGTTTCGCTCCCCAGACCCCCTTTAACGGGCCTTCGGCCCTTTTGCCCGGCCTTCGGCCGGGTTTATCTTACAAATCATAACCATATCTTCGATAATATATATTAAATATATTTTTTAAATTCATCAATAATATGTTATTATAATTTAGTAGATTATTCACAATGACTTTATAATAATACTATCCAGAATAATTTCAATAGTAATATAATATCCTTCCACGAACATCAAAACAAGAAAAATATAATTCATATAAAATCACTTTTAAGTCTTTTGGTATAATCTAAAAAAAAAATTTTGCTCTGGGAGGGGTCCAAACCCGAAAACCACCCCCGTAGCTACGCCACTGCACATGCACAACCGACTAGGCCATAGGCGCTTTTCAAAAATGACTATTTTTTAAATATAAATATTATATATTAACATTGATTATCTCAATCGTATCAAATTTTAGTTGGTTTAATAATGTTATATTTAACATTAATTCCCACTGATAAGGGTGGAGAGATGGCTACGAACTTTAATTATGTATGAAAATTAATTGTTATAAAAGATTGAATTATGAATTTATAATACTCATAATTTAATTATACTCATAATTTAATTATACTCATAATTTAATAAACAATATTATTTTTATAAATTACAATAAATTTGAAGAGCAAAAATAATTTTGTTATATTTTATTTTGGAGGTGAGGGCGTGAGAGTGAGGTATTATCTTTTTATGGGCTATGCACAAAAATTTCTCTTCCGATAGTTATGACCAGACCTGTAAATTTATATTTTGGCTTCAACCTGCCATCGATGGCGATGCGGTGGGGTTAAATATTTTTCTTACTTAAATTTTATTAAAACTAGAAATTTATTGAAAACACTTTTAAAATAAAATTTATGCTTTATTATGAAAATAGTTATAATTTAAAGGTTTCGTTAAGTTATAATTATCATGTATAATTATTATTATATTTAGATTTACAAAACATAATGATAATCTTTTAGAGTTCAAATCGGAACACCCAGAACTTTAGCTAATATTAAAAGTTTAGGAGATCCAATACTCTAATTTTCCAAAAATCTAGAACATCTTTTATCTTTTAATTATAGGCAAAAATAGTAGCCTCATTAGAGGGAGGGGGCATACTCGAGCCCCCTGAAAAATTCCAGAAGCCCCCACAAAATTTTGAATTTTTTTTTATACCACTAAAAAAATAGGTAGGTTAGCTAAAAAAAAATTTTTGAGCTACATGAAATTGTAAAGGCTACTGACACCCCTGGGCAAAAATAATGAATTCTTTTTCTAGTCTGGTTAAATAGTCTTGTTATTCCAAAATGAATGTTTGGTAGCTAATATCTTAATAATATAATTTGATTCAGAAGCAACCTCTGCGGTTTGACATTCAGTTATCGTTATTGAGGCATCAGAAAGATATCGTCTTAATATAAAAATGTCACCGGTATAATATTTCTTTCCTTAATTCATTTTCTATGCTTCTAGATTGAAAAAGAGGATCCAAGTGTTCCTGACACCTATGTAAAGAAAATAAAACAAACTACCTAAGAAAAAATAGAAAGGAAAAAAAAAAGAAGAAAGCATATTACATGAAAAGAAGCTATGGGAGGACTATCATATTCTTTTACGATTAAATTATTTAAACTACGAAATAATAAGGATAAATTTATAATGCATCATTGTTGAACTGAGTGATAATCAATAGTTTTTTTGATTCTAATGTAAAAGTTCAAGCATCAAGACCCATTTGGAGTTAAATTTGATCCGGCTACTCCATTCTATTAAATAGAATATTTATAAGATTTCTGTTATTGCAACTCACATTTTCTAGCATTATTAAAATACTATGCCAACGTGTAGGCTAGAGGTCTGCAAGATAATTTTTTTTACCAGAGCCAGAATTTAAATTTTTTTAAACCCGACCCGAGAAACCGACTGAATTTTTTTAAATTTAAGAGTAAATATTATAATATCCAAAAAAACAATAATAAATTGTATGTATTACCTTAAATAAAAGTTTATTTGATCACAAAGATTTAATCAATATATATTTATATTAAGTTGCATTTATTTAAATTGGAAAGATATACCTTTTTAAATATTAAAAAAGTTGAAATACAATCGAATTTAAAAATTATTGCGATTATATAAAAATAACGTGCATGATATATCAATAATATTATAAGTTTTATCACATATTAAATAATTGCGATATATAAATTATGAGGAGTCAAGCTTGTCAGGCATGAAACAATTCTACCTATATTTAATACCCTATCAGCCTCTGAGAGCGCTCTCTCATTGCTAGTTAAGGAAGCTGGGATAGCCAGGAATTTAAGAATAAAAACACTTAAATTAGGAAAGTCGTTTCGATAAGTCTTCCACCAATTTAAGATTTACTAAGCGATTAAATATTGAAAATTTGAGGCTATTTAATTAAATAGATATTAGATAAATATACTTTAAAACCTTATAGAATATGATGTTAATAAAGTATGTAATAATAACACCATAATATAATAAAAAAATAGTTTGGTAAACATGTGTTATGTAAAATAATAATTGAAAATGACATGTTATTCGGATTGACATTTTAATGATGAAATAATATTTATTTATCGGGTCGGATTGGGTTTCAAATCGGTCACCTCTTACAACCCGACCTAAAAAAACAAAAGTTTTTTATGTCCAAACCCGACCCTAACAAGAGCACTAGTCGTGCAGACTTCTAGTGTAGGCACATTTAATTTTAATGTTTCATGCTTTTCTCATATGATTTTTGATTTGCACTATCATCATCCAACCTAAAACGATTTTCTTAAAAAGGATAATTATCATCGAAATCTAAAATATTCGATGTGAATGATATCGATTAAAGTATTTCCTAGATTATATTTTCAAAATTAGCTGTTTTGAATATTAAGGTAACTATAATTTCCATCACTTTTTTATTGTTTGTATTTTATTAAATTTTCTTTATTCCATCTACTTACTATCACTAGATTACTATGTCCCAAACATAAATGTTGGTCATATTCTTCTAGATGAAAACTTCTTTATATTGGGTCATGCAACCATAACCATTTGAATTTTATTAGACCCTAAATTGAATTCATTTTCAACTTTATCTAACTCGGAAAGAATAGTTTCGGCTGTGTTTTTGAATGACATGATGTATACCCAATGTATAAAATGTGACCATAAAATTATTATCTAATTCATGAATTGTAAAGGTAATATAATTTCGCCGTCTATATTATCAAAAGTTATGGCAAAAAATCTAATAGCATTTAAATTTAAAATATATTTAATATTATTCTTATTCAATCATAAATAATATATAAAATAAATATTATTTTTCATAACAAAAAATATTTATCAAGCGCCATGCCGCCGAATTTTTCCACCGGCGAGAGCGCCGAAAGTTTTTTCTCCGGAGCGTGGTCAAAAATTAACGGCGGCATATTAAAGCAGCGGCGCACAGGTCTACCTATTGGTAAATAGTTTTAGATCAAGGCCCGGTTTATTGTGGTGTGGATCAAATTTTTATTAAAGCTAAAAGAAAAGAATTCAAACTCAAAATATTATTTTATTCTCTATTTTAATGTTTTGCATAAAATTCAATATTAAGAATAAGAAATAACTTTACTATGTTTATATTTTATTCTATCAATTACGAAATATAAAGATGTTGTTTGTCCATTTTATTTTAAACTGATTTTGACCATAAATGGATTTTTTTATTGATTTTTTTTTTAAAATCGTTTTCTTCAAATATTTTTAAATAGGCTGTCCTTTTTGACTAGGTGTCTATTTTGGTATCACATGAATGCCACACATTTTCCTTCAAGGTATTATCGCAAATGCATTACCACATTTCCACGATTATCATAAATGCATTTTCGCGAATATATCACAGCGAAAGCATTATTACGAATGCATCTGAGTGCGCAAAAATATTACCGGTAATGTTTTGCTGCTAAAAGATTATTTTGAATTCAATATCGTGATTTATTTAATTTGACAAATGGTTGATATAATTATTGTAAAGTATTATTATTACATTTTTTCTTATAAAATGTATCGATATATATTTTTATTTTTGAGATATCGGAAACTCTGAGAGTGCTGTTCAATAATTTTTTTCCACCGACTTGCTTTTCTCCAAAAATATATTTATAGTCCTATATTCTAGACCATTTAGTAAATTTAAATTCTTTTCAAAGAACATGAGATACGGACAGATCCGTGAAAAAACCAATCAACATTTTTTCTTTATTATGGTAAAGTCTTGATATGATATGGCAAATATTTACTTATATTATACATTTTTTCTGGCTCCTTACCTATCCCTTTTTAATTTTTTTCTTCAAATATACATAGTTTTTATTAATTTCTTAAAAAATAGAATTTATTAATCCTTCTATATAATATTACATATTAAGTAAAATACAATTGATTTTAATAAAGAACTAATTTTTACAAATACATGTTGAAATTGGCGAAATGGGCATTAAAGGAAATAATTAAAAATAACTAGTATCATATTTAAAGAAACTGGAAAACCAAGAATTGAAGCCAGAACAGTTATATCTGATGTTAAAAAAATTTGAAAAAAAGATTAAATATTAAATTTTCAATAAATTTCCATTAAGACCTTTATTCATTACAGACAGAACACCTCAATAGCAATATGAACCGCAGATCTAGTGGAACACGTTTTTATCATAACAAATTCAGAGTTAACTACAAAACGTTCTTACTTACCAGGTGAAATCTGAAAACTTCTTATCAAAAATGAATGGAAAAAATTTTAATTGATAGATATTATATTTAAAACCTAATTTTTGCTACAGGAAAGCAATAAAAATTAAATTTCTAATATTTTTAAAAGGATGGTTAACCTTATATTGACTATAATTTAATTTATAAATATTGAATAGAATAATAAAAAATGATTTTTGAAAGTCTTTTTTGACAAAAAGTTTGTGTATGGAAAAGGCTAAATCTCAGGAGACGATTTATTTAAAAAGTAATATAATCCATTGGCTAACAAGATATTATATTAAGCATTTCTTTGCGTTAAATATTAAAAAAATATATTTTAGATGAATGAACACAAACATGTTCACAAATTTAAATGTGTTCCTTTTTTGTAAATAAATTTTGAATGCGAACATATTATTTTACAAATGCACAATGAATGCAAACAAATGAGTTTTTTACACTATTTAATTGTGATATTGAATCAGACAAAAAATAAATAGGAAAGAAATATATATGTATCATATTGGGGTATGGAATCCATGAGATTTAGAATTTTTAAATTTTAAACAATTTTTCATAAATTTGTAAATTTATATGTCTATGAAAAATATACAAAAATTAAGACTAGCTTAAAAGTTCATGGCAAGATTGTCTGAAATACAGTGTGGGCTAGAGGTTTGCAATGGGTGAGTTTAGCTAAAAAGCCTGCCCACTCGTTGTTTTAAATTTTTTAACCGCTCTACCATTTTTATTTAAAAAAAATTTATATGCCCACCCATTTATCAATAAATTTTGTTTAACCCGCCAGCCCTCCTAATGTTTAAAAATTATTTTAATGACTGGTTTGGCTCTTTTTTTATTTATTTTATAATATGCAATACAATATTATGGAATAAAACTATTATTTTTAATAAATTGAAGTCTATTCTGCTCATTTCGCCTGAAAAATATTTAAAATTCACTTGCCCAGCCCCGCTCATTACTCAATTTTTTTTAACCCACTCAATGTTGAAAATATTTTAGAAAACCCGACTATGCCCACTCAAAACATGGGCAGAAGGGCTAAAAACCCATCCATTGCAGACCTCTAGTGTGGCTATGTTAAAATAAATTTCTGGTAACCATATTTACCAAAAATGAAAGTCGATTTCAGTAAATGATTTTAACTTGAGTAATTATGAATATTCCATCAATATTTTTTGGGCCATGAGACCTATATTTTATTTTTGATGGATGACAATTTGGGCAATTTTAACAAGAAATGTGCAGTACAAAAATATATGGGGCATTTTAAAATTGGTGAATTGATAATTTATTTTCAAGTTTTTTTTATTCATTATAGCAGTATTTAAATTAAATAGGAAGTTTTAAAATAATTTTGTAGGTATTTTAAATTTCTGGCAAGTTAATAATTAATTTTCAAGTTTTTTTATTTACTTAAGTAGTTAATTTTTTTGAACATTAACATTGAAAGCGCATGATGAAACCATTCAGATTTATATAATTACTTTTAATCTAATAGGTGTTACTGAAGGTTAAATATTTGAAAACTATTCTGGTAACCATATTTACCAAAAATGAAAGTCGATTTCAGTAAATGATTTTAACTTGAGTAATTATGAATATTCCATCAATATTTTTTGGGCCATGAGACCTATATTTTATTTATGATGGACAACAATTTGGGCAATTTTAATAAGAAATGCGCAGTACAAAAATATATGGGGCATTTTAAAATTGGTGAATTGATAATTTATTTTCAAGTTTTTTTTATTCATTATAGCAGTATTTAAATTAAATAGGAAGTTTTAAAATAATTTTGTAGGTATTTTAAATTTCTGGCAAGTTAATAATTAATTTTCAAGTTTTTTTATTTACTTAAGTAGTTAATTTTTTTGAACATTAACATTGAAAGCACATGATGAAACCATTCAGATTTATATAATTACTTTTAATCTAATAGGTGTTACTGAAGGTTAAATATTTGAAAACTAAATGGTTAGATAAAAATAACATATTATATGGGTATACCTTAATGTCATTGGAAACAAGAAATATGGTAATTAATGATGAAAATACTTTAAGAAAGAATATTTTATAGTTGTTTAATTTGTTAAGAAAAGAGTTGAAAAATAGTAAATCATTTAGTGTGGTCAAATGGCTAGCCCTAGATTTTAGCCAAAATTTTTATGCAGGCTTGGAGATTTTGCTCATAGATGGCAGAACAGTTTGGAAATCCATTAACAAAATCTCAAGATTTGTGTAATATTTTTACTAAAATATTGGGTTGATCATTTTTTTAAAATCAAGGTATTTAACAACACTACTACTAGTCTATGCAAAAATAATTTATGGCAAATCCAATGATTACTTTAAAAACAATAACCTACACATAAATTGAAAGCAATTAATCAAAGAAATAAATTTGTTACAAATTATTCTGCTTTATAAAAATACCAAAAACAGATGACTAAAGCAAAGGCATCTACAATTATCCTATCTTATTTAAATTATATTAGTGTAATCATATGGCATTTTAAAATTATTTTCTGATACAATGTTAAATAAAAATTATAATACCATAAAGAATCTTATTTTTGATATTTTATTTATTAATTTTCATACAATATACATCATAACTTATAATTAAAAGAGATATTTGTATAAACTAAACAATTTCAAATAAATATTGAAAATTTTTGGTTATAAGTCAACTCCATTTTTTCTACTGCTCAATATTTTATAAATATTGCCCTAATTATTAATTTTGTCCATTTTGATTAATTTTATGCCCAAAAATTTATAAAACTGCCCAAAAGATTTAAAGATTTATGTGCTGACAATAAAAATGCCTATTTAGATTAATCTACTGCCAAAATTAGTCTTTATTATGTCACTGCCAGCATGGTCCTGGAGGTCTCAATTATGGCCCTGAAAAATAATATGATACTCTTGATGAAAAAAATACTTTTTATTAACAACTTATACAGATTTTATTAAATATATAATTACATATATAAATTTTTTTATGAATATATGCTTATCAGGTTTTGATACTTTTTCTAATATTTTGGTTATATTTTTCATGATGTTTTTCCAACTAACAAAAAATTATTAGTAAAAGAAAGATTATAAAACTTTACTATTTTTTTAACATGAAGAAGTACTGTTTCACCACCAGAACAATTATCTAATTGATAAGGAGGCAAAATTACAACATCATCCATTACCCTTATTTCAGCCCCATTCCATGAAACCTTTAATCTATATAATAAATAATAAATTAAATAATAATTCCATATTATACGTTTTGCTAATTTCAACAAATAGTGATTTTCCAATTGGTGTAACATCCTTAGTAACATTTTTTAATATATGTTTATCCTTGTTTTTAACATAATTTTTGTCAAGCTATAAAATAAAAATGTGTTAAAAAGAAAAAAAAGCATGATTAAAATTTTTAGATGAATTGTAAAAACTTTAGAAACATCTATTATAGGTAATGGATCAGGCTTTAATGCTGGAATACTTTCATATATAGCACCATTTAAGTTAATAATATGTAAATTATTTAGACCAGGTTTGGATCCATCAGATTCTACATTATCATGTAAAAATAATATTTAGATTTTAAACTCACTAAGAATAATGTAATTTTTTTTTTCATCAAAACCGATAATTTCTCCTTCAAACTTCTTACCAGATATTGTAGTACATTTAAAATTATGAGATTTATTATTATTATTATCCATTCATGAAGAAAATTTTTCTTTACATTTTTTTTGAGTTTTCCATAAAAATTATTAATGAACGTATGGCTTAATAATTTTTAAATTTTTTTAGAATCAAAAATTAGTGTAAAATAATTTATAAAAATGATGATAGGAGAAATAAAAAGAGTATACGATTAAAATAATAATGATATATCACCAAATCAGGAAGGAAGGGAAGGAAGCAAAATAAGGATAAATTAAAATAAGGAAATAAAAGGAAAGAAAGAAAAGGTAGGAAAGGAAGGAAATGGAAGGAAGGAAGGAAGGAAGGAAGGAAGGAAGGAAGGAAGGAAGGAAGGAAGGAAGGAAGGAAGGAAGGAAGGAAGGAAGGAAGGAAGGAAGGAAGGAAGGAAGGAAGGAAGGAAGGAAGGAAGGAAAGAAGGAAGGAAGATAAACTGAATAGATAATTGACGTTAATATTAAAAGATATAACAAAAAATCGTTTAAAATTAAAATTCATTCTAAGTTATAGCTTTAAATAAATTTTTTCAATTGATGATTTTGCAGGAATTGTATTTTTTATTTAATTATAGGTCCGTCTTAATCAATTTAAGATAAAATAATAACCAAAACAAATTTGGACTCTGTTCTGTTGGTTAGCTTAGTGAATTATAATTGTTTCATGTTTGTTATAGTTTATGCAATTTTTTTAAAAGTTATTATTATGGCAATGATATTATGGTTCAAACGTTTTGGAAATAATTTTATTGATATATGTTTCGTTATAATCTAATTCTTTTTGTTTTTTGCATTTGAATTTTTTGTAATCTAATTTTTATTATTTTTTGTAATTTAATAACTTTATTGCGTAACCTTATTTTTATAACTTTCGGCGTAACCTTACTTTTTATATTTTATAATATTTTTACTTTTTTGTTTTTCGTTTGTATTCTAATTTGGACTTATAAAATTGTATATATACCTTATGAAAAGAAAAAGAAATTAGTTAATAAAATATATTTTTACTGACTCGCACCTCGCGCTATATCGTTAAGATCCTTATTCTTTTCATGGTGCCCTGGCTCTGGGTGGTGGACTAGAAAAAGATGACTACCTTATCTACTGAGATGACTATCTAACCTATGGAGACTGCTTAACCTATGGAGATGACTACCTATTATGACTACCTTATCTATTGGACTGCCTAATCTATTGATATGATCAATGCCTAATCTACTGAGATGACCAAGAATCAAACCTTAGCACGTTCTTTCATGCAAAAAGCTTCTTTCTTTATGGTGTCCTGGCTCTGGATGTTGGACTGGAATATGATAACCAGCACCTAACCTAATGTGACAACCTAGAAAGAACTGATATGGAAGTTGAACGATAGGTTATGAATTCTATTTTATGAGATCAATGATGATTACTTATTATTCTAATCCACGTAAGAAGAAAAGTTATTATAAATTAAGATTTTATGCCAGGATAAAGGCATGTTATAAATTTTTAAAATCACTAAAATGTAAAATCATAATGGTTATATTTGAACACACAAAGCCTTTAAAAAATTATTTACTTAAATTCTTAGTGAAATATTATTTTTTGATTTCTTGAATGATGACTAATTGTTGTAAATTAACTAAACCTAAAGATGAATTCTTAGATATAATTAAATATAAACCATTATATCCTAAACAAGAAGATAAAACTTTAATTTTAAATATATTAAAATGTAATTAAAACATATGAATTAAAAGGGATTGATTTAAATAACCCTTATAAGTAATGCTTAATATGATAAAAATGTTTTTGAAATAAAGCTTTTGAAGATTAGATAAATATTTAAATGATGTGATGAGATCATTTTCTAAAAATTATCTTATGAAGAATTTTTATTAAAAATAACACTTTTTGAATTAAAACTAGGGTGTGAAATTTAAATTTTTTATTTAAAGAGAGGGAAATGTGAATAATATTTTATTTGCATATTTTAACCTCGGAGATTGAAAATAAATAAAAATAAATTAAATACTAAAACGCAAAAATTAATTAAACACTAAAACGCGAAAAAATAAAAGTCATTAAAACGCGAAAAATTAAAACGCTAAAAATATAACAATCTTATTGATTATCATTCTTCATTTATTCTTATATCCAATATGATGAACTATTATTTCTTATTCGCAACTTATTGATGATAATAATAACAACTGAGTACTATCAAACAAGTTATGATTAATGGAGACAAATTGCAATAAGGATATCAAGCTTGAGATTTAAACAAACCAACGTGCAAAATCGATTTAAACAAACCAACGATTAGGACAAGCCAACGTTATGATGATTTGTGATACAACTTGATTACCAAAACAATAAACCACTTGGACAACAAACTCTCTGTGTCTTCTCCGATGAAATTATAAGAAGAGGGAGAATGTTGCGTTATAATCTAATTCTTTTTGTTTTTTGCATTTGAATTTTTTGTAATTTAATAACTTTCGGCGTAACCTTACTTTTTATATTTTATAATATTTTTACTTTTTTGTTTTTCGTTTGTATTCTAATTTGGACTTATAAAAATGTATATATAACTTATGAAAAGAAAAAGAAATTAGTTAATAAAATATATTTTTACTGACTCGCACCTCGCGCTATATCGTTAAGATCCTTATTCTTTTCAATATAAATGAGATTTTAGTTATATTACGAATTTGAATAATATTAATTATATGTTTTGTTATTTTAATTAGAAATATTATATAAACTAGCTTTGCAATGCAAATTATAAGCATTTATATTTATATAAACTAGTAGAAAGCCCGTCAAAAATGACGGGGAATGAGATTTTTATTCATTTATTACGATAGATGTCAGGCCAGGTTCAAGCTCACAATATTAGGAAGCATCCAAGATCTTATAATTTTGAAAAAGTTTATCAAGCCCAGCTCAACCCTTGATAATTCTAAAAGATATTCCCAAGTCAGGTGCAAGCTAATATTAATTTTGAGGTTCCATGCCCAGTACTACCCATTATAATTTTGAAAATTTTTTCCCGCCTCATAAATAGTTAAATTTTTAATATCATCACATGAACGGGAAATATCTGATTTACCAATTAGTCTAATATGGAAAAAAAACATGTAAATTCCGTATTAAGGGAAACTGGGAAGGCCTGGGCAACCACTTATTAGAGAATCATGACAAATAAAATAAAAACAACCGACTCTTATACTTTTTTGTAATATGATCAATTAAAAATTATATCTAAAAAATATGTTGTTTATTATATAGAGTTATTGTTGTTTTTCAGATAAATTTAATGTATGTCTTGCATTTCTGAAATTATTTGTCAAAGAATTTGATAAGGGATATATATTTTTTTATGTTAAGTAAAAAAAAATGCTGTATATTTAAATTACAAAAATGCCATTAAACACTAATGAAACTTATATGCAAATTATTTATATATTTTTTAAGATATTTTTTTTTATTGACATATATATTTAGGATAATTTTTTTAAAAAATAATGAGGATTATTTATTATGTATTTGATAAAATTAAGAGCAAATCCTTGTTGAAATTTTAATTTTTGATGGAAAAAGCGACAAAATAAATCTGGGCGGTCGTCTGGAGAGGAAATAATGTATAATTTTATATCATTTAGTGTTGTAGATGAAAGTGATGACGGATTAACAAAGCAGTGTACAAAACACACTCGTCCTGATAAAGATGATATGCCTATGCCTTGGGATACTGATAAAAGAAGAACGTAAAACGATATTTCTGTCAATGTCAGCATTGGTATCCCCTTCTAAAATAGAATCATGAACGACAATGTTAACTCAACCATAAAACGGTCGTAAGTAATGTTATAAAGGCTACGACAGAACTACTGCATATATTTTCATTAATAAAGTTGATGAAATTGGCCGTACTGTACATTCAAGTTTGAACACGCAAAACGATATTTCTGTCAATGTCAGCATTGGTATCCCCTTCTAAAATACAATCATGAACGACAATGTTAACTCAACCATGAAAGGTCGTAAGTTTTGTTTTAAAGGCCACGACAGAACTACTGCATATTTTTCCATTAATAAAGTTGATGAAATTGGCCGTACTGTACATTCAAGTTTGAGCATTCCTCTAAATATTCATGAAAGTTTCTTAGAGAATCGGATAAAGTAATATTTATATTAACTCCTAGTGAATTGAATGACAGTACAGAATTAAATGTTTATATTTGTTAAAAAATAGGCGGAGGCACAGGGATTGTGGTAGTGGTGATAGTATAATTTGGAGAACTGGGTGAAAATAAAATAAACATAGATATAAAACATAAGATAAAAAAAAACAAAATAAACCTCCAGATCAGTTCATTTCAAGCGTAGTTCTTTATTATTTTGTCTACCAGCAACTCTAGAACGGGTAAGGCGTTTGTTTAATCGTCATTATTTTCTTTGCTTATCTTTATAATAGATTCATCATGTTTTGTAGCAATGTATGGGATTAGAGTTAGCCTAGACAAATAAAGAAATCAGGCAAAAATATAAATAAACTATTGTTGAATTTAAACAAACATTAAAATAATCTAAAACCGGTGGGTCAATATTAGATGCATATTTCTGGTAGTTGGAAGGCTATCATCAAAAAAAATTTTTGGGGGACTTATCAAGCATTATGATATTCTAATAGTTAAAAAATAACATGATTTATGTAATGTTATTAAGATTAAGATTAATTGATTGTAAGGTAATTAAAAAATAAGATTAAAAAAGGGGGGAAAAAGGAAGGTATAAATTATTATATTATAAAAATAATAAAAATTAAATTAAAGGAATTAATAAGGTTTTGAGAAATAGTGGTTAATAAATAATAGAGATAGAAAGAAAAGAATGAGATAATAAAATTTAGTGATAAATAAATTCATTAAGGGAGAGGAAAAAAATAAAGAAAGAGTTATTTATAAGGATTGGAGATTATAAATAAATTAGGATAAGAATATTTGAATAAACTTGATTATCTTCTTAATTATTGGTTATGAAAGAAAAATAAAAGTATAAAAAATTGTAATGTAAGTAATGACAAAAATTGTGAGTATGTTCAAAATAAATATACAAGTTTATCTTGTAGAGATTTCATTACTGTGTAATTTATAATATGAGATGAAAATTGATAAGGTAATCTAAAAAATAAAAAAAGGATTAAGTGAAATAAAAAGTTAACCTGAATCTTTTTATTCACATGATTTATTTCATTCATATTTAGAAAGTGAGGGAATATTGTTTATACAATTCAAAGACTTTTCAAATCTCTCAATCCATGTTAGGTATGTGTACACCCTCAATTCTCGAAATTCCATTCATCTGTTTGTATAAATTAAATAAATAAAATCAACAAATAAAAAAAATAAAAAAATACGTACCGATGACATGACGTACCGATGACATGACGTAGCGATGACATGACGTCACGATGACGTAGTAAGGACATCGGAAAATAATAATATAGATATAGAGATGTAAATGGTTATGCCATATTTTTTCTTTTAATTTTTTTTTTTTAGATTGGAATAATAAAATTTTAATTTTAATATTTATTTATATTTAAAAAATTTTTAAATAAAAACAGAAAAAAAAACAAAAAAATAAATGATTTTATTAATATAATGACAGTGATATAAATTTATAAAATAACTAAGAAAAAATATTAGATTTGAGAGAAAATTTAATAAATTACCACCATATAATTGAAAAAACTTCCCAGAGAAAAGTAAAAGGTAAAACTAGTCTATAATGTTTCAAACAGATTATTAAGTTGGTTCACTCCTTTTAGCCATTTGGCAAAGGTTTGGTTATGCTTCAGTAAATTATCGTTCAGGTGTTAGGTCGTTCCGGGTCCCTGCTATAAATCTTAAAAATTATTTAACAATGGTAAAAGTTATGGTGTACTATGCTATTTAAATATTCTTAACTTAACATAAATGTTTAAATTAATATTATTGTCTTGTTTTCTTATTTATTAATTAATAAAATGATAAATAAGAAAACTCTGATCAAAAAAAAATTTCACAAATAGTAAAGAAGCTATATGAAAAGTATACATATATAATTATAATTGATATTATGAAAATATATGTATGAATATATCATATTATATTACATAAAATATAGTTGTAAAATTAGATAATTTATTAATACATTCTAATGAGAAAAAAAAAATCTGGTATAATTATTGAATCCAATAATTTGCTTGCTTCTGAGGAAATATATCTTACAGGCTATTGTGATATTTCGTAAGAGCATTAATAATTAATAGGCTCTTCCAACTCAATATAAGCTATTACTGCATGATGGCGAAGACTCCATCTCTGGGGACAAGCTTTTTGCAATTTCTTTCTCCTTGTTAGATAAAGAGTTTCTAAAATAATTTTGTTTATAATATTTTGTCGTTTAGGGTATCTAAACATTTCATAGACGCTAGATATTTTGTCTGATATAAATAGAAAAAATTTAATTAAAATAAGTAAAATTATACATTAGCTATTTGATATCAATGGTAAAGAAGATGAATTAGATATTGCCAAGTTGAGCGAATGAGCAGCACAGTAGACATATATAGCTTAATATTTATTTTTTATAAATGCTTGAAGCCCATTGTCAGAGTTGGGCAGGTCCTCCGGAAAAAGAATCTAGATACAGATTTTTTTTTAAAAAATGAATCTTAGATACAGATACTAGTATCTTTTCCAAATATCAAAAAGATACAAGATAAAAGATACTTGTATCTTTTACTAAATTAGAGTGTCTAAATACAAGATGCTTTTAAATTATAATTACCAATTAAATTAGAATAGTTTATAAAATACAGTTTTTATTATTTATTTGTGAAGAACATAGCATACACATATAAGAATGAATATTTGCAATAATAAAATATTTATTGATGAATTAATTATAATAACCAGGTATTAATAATATTAATTTTTGCCCATTTATAGCTTAAACAGGGAAGTGAGAGTAGTATATTTAATGGGAGTTAAAAATGTGCAAATAAGAAAAAAAAATTAAATCAAATGATTTATTAGAATTTGCAGGTTATTTTCTGTGTTGTTTTAAATATAGCTTATATTCGGAGTATATGGATAAATGGCATCTCTAAAAAATATATACTAGTTTTATTTTATTCATTATCTTTAATAAGTATTTATCATTACTTGTTTGTGATATTTATGTATTTTTTATTTATTTTCTAATATGACTTATTAATTCTTGCATTTGTAATATCATATATAGTATATAAATATCATTTAAATCTTTTTTCATATTTTTTTTATATATCTCTTGCAAAATTATTAATTATATATAAAAAATATGAAAATAATGTACACATTATATTATTTAATTGTTAATTACATAGCAATTTTCTTTAATGCATTTTAAATTAATTAAATTTTGTAAATAAATACTGAAATGTAATTTTATTTATATCATAAATAAATAAAAGTAACTAATAAAGTTAAATTCTACCTTATTATAATTATTTTATTAAGAACCTTTTAAAATCATCTAATATTATATATCAATTGTAGCTTAAATATTTCCTTTAATAAAACTTGCTAAAATAATTAAATATAAAATATATTAGGGATGTGCAGATATTTTTTCTCGGATCAGATCGGGCTGATATTTCACCCATTTTAAAATATCGGTTATAGGTCAATATTATAAAATTTGATCCGATATAAGGCTTCTTTAACAAAAATAAAATGTTATAAAATGAAAAAAAATAGTTATATCTAAAATCATTTATTTTTATAAATAAAATCGAAATCCATTTTTATGTATATTTTTTTAGTAATATTAATTAATTAATAAACATTCTATCATATTGTTATTTTTTTGCGCATTCTGTTTATAAAAGTGTGTGATAATCACTACAGATTCTGTTTTAGTGAAGCTGGTGATATTGACATACTATTGCCTCAAGCTGACCTCTGATAAATCGGAAATATAAGAAATCTACCCTATATTAATGTTAAATATTATTTTAAATATTTAAAACCATTGTTATCTTTACAGAATACAAAATTAGATATGATATCGGATCGGTAATCGGCCGATATCAATTTAATATCGGGAATATCGGATAGCATCGATCTCTAAAAAGTAGTATCGGTACACTCCTAAAAAATATATATCCAAAATGATTTTAATTTGATAATCAACTATCTTCTATAAAAAATTTTAATAACAATTATCTAAGAAGGACTTAAGTATTATAAGTATTATTATGTTAATAATTATAAAATAAAAATGTATATTATACTTTAATATGTTTAACAAAGTTTGTGAGGAGTATGTTCAATCTTTAATAACTTTTTTACTTGTGTAATTTTGACATTCGGCTTGCACCCTGTCCTTTTCACATGAATTACTATATAAAATTTTCCATCTAGAATTTAAAGATTCAGATTTGACTCAGAAGAACCTATCTCCATAATTTTATCTTCACTACTATAAATGTTAAACATTCTACAAATTAAAAAATATTATATATAAAATATAACCTTTACTTATTTAGTTTTGGTGTTGCTATTTTTAATCTATCTATCTTTGTGATCTGTAAAATTTCCAACTAATTTTGGTTATCAATATATTTAAAATATAGCAGGAAAAAATAAAGAAAATAATACAAGATTTCACGAAGAAAATAAAGTTACCTTGTGTGATATGTAAATGTTTTAAACATGAATATTAAAAAGAATCTGTATCTGTATCTTTTTAAAGAAAATGAAAAAGATACAAGATTCTTTTCAAAATAAAGGATCTTAGATACAGATACTAGTATCTTATTAAAAATGTCAATAAGATACTGAGTACAAGATACAAAAGGATCTTGTATCTTAGATACAAGTATTCGCGGTACTGCCCAACTCTGCCATTGTATTGCCCACTCATTGCACGAGCTCCATCATTTCATTTCCTTGCCAACGTATAAATTTCATATTCAGCCATTGAAAAAATAATTTTATAATGGGATTAATTATTACTTTGAATTTTTTAGGATTCTCAAATATTACATCCTCTAAGGCAGACTCAATCATGCTTGAAACAGGAATAAATTGAAGTAATATTTCCTTGATAATGTTATTTTGAGTATCTATAAATCGTGCACATAATGACATCTGCTAAATTCCAGCAATGTTTGTGGTCTCATCGCCAAAACTGAAATGCATAAGACAGAATTGATTTCAATACAATTTTTCTAAAATGATATTATTGCAAATATCAATTATTTCATTGAATTCTAGGGCTAAGATATGAAGCATTTTTTATTTACTATTAAGGCTCTCCATTAATGCAGAATCCCCTCATGCTTTAAATTTTACAAGACCACGAAAATTACTTTCATTGCTATTATTATTGGTGTTAATTGTGTTCAATTAACATAATTTATTGTAATGTTAATTTAAATTTGTGATCAGTTGAAATAATTTATTTTAATGTTAATTGAGTATTAATTTGAATATCTATTGAAATGTTTTATTATATATACCAGTTGATTGTTATACATATTATTATTATTATTATTTGATTTTTTAAAAGAAAAAATATAATTAATTTAAAACTCAAATTTAACTTGTTTCCTTCATGGTGCCCCGGCACGTTTTTGTAAAAATAAAATAAAATATATAAAATTTGCCTTAAATTAAAAAAAAAAGTAAAAAGAAAATTAAATTCTAAGGATATGACTTGTCTTTTTTAAAAAAAAAATATAGTCAAATATTATTCTGATATATACAATATACAAAAGGTAAAAAAAAAATTTTTTTTTTTTTAATGTTTGAATTTAAGGCGATTAATTTGCTGGACACTATTTTCATCGCACATATGGCTCGTGATATGTGTGGTTGTGATGCTACGCAATAATATGTTAATGAATGGGAGACCGCATATTATTCAAGATAAGAACTTTATATTCATAGATTGCGTGATCACAAAATGTTAAAACTTACAATTTTACGCCAATTTATATTTTGATACGCTTATTATGCTACAAATTATAGTATATAAATTGAATACGAATTACACATTTTTTTATGTTATAGTATTTTCTGATCTATTTTGATAATTTAAATATAAAGACATAATATTATCTGAATTTCTTTTATAACTTAAAATTAGAGATTTAGAATAATCTAGTTTTCTTTAAAAACTTAAATTTAAAGAATTATCCAATTTCCTTTGACGACTTAAATTCAATGAGATTGAATTATCTAATTTCCTTTGACGACTCAAAATTAAAGCATAGGATTTTTTTTGATTTGCTTTGACGATATAAAATTTAAAGGCATAGAATTATTTAATTCCGTTTGACTGATTTTTTTGTTCGATATGAAATTCATACTTAAAACATATAGTATTTTCTTAAAGTAAAATTTTTATTATGGACAATAAACTTAATGCTAATTATGGACAATAAACTTACTGCTATATTCGATCCGTATCACAGATTTCCAAAACTTATTGGAGAGATGACGGACACATACCTTGATATGGTTGAGACATACTTTGAGGATTACATTGCGTCTGACTCATCTAAGGCTAGGACCTTATTAGGTAACTTATCAATTGACATTTATGACAAAATTACATCCGTGTGTTCAAAGGCACAATTAAAAGATTATAAGGTTGTTTTTAATAAACTCAAGTTATTAATTCCGAGGGAAGATATAAATTTAAGTATAAAAAATTTTAACTTAGCGGTACAACGTGACGACGAGTCTTTTTATACATTTTTCTATAGAATACATAAATTACATAAGAAGTGCAATTTCCTAGATGACAGTAGAATTAAGGAGAAATTGATATACTTTAAACGATCATATCAGAAGGAAGTTGAATAAGCATAAGGACTGGACTGTAGATGAGATGATGAAATTAGGAGTTGAGTTAGATGGTAGCAATATTAAACCAGACGTTAGTGATACAAATTATGTAGACAATGATAAAAAATTGGATAAAAATAAAAAAATTTCTAATTCAAATATTGATAAAATACCATGCAAAAGTACTTTTAGTAATAATGAGAATAATTCTAATGATAATGAACGTAATAATTTTAGAGAAAATAATTTTAATTGTAATGGACGTAACACTCGTAGGGAAAATTTTGATTTTGAGAAGCGGAATTATAATGATTTTAGGCCTAATGATAATGCTAGCCGAAACTATCAAAACAATAATTTTCAAGACAGTGAAGGTAACTCTAGAAATTTTCGTAATAACTAATCTTCGAACAACAATTCAAACTATAACGGAAGAAACTCCATGTGGCACAATAACAATAATGCAAGCAATTATGATAGAAACAATGCCTGGCAAAACAACAACAAT